GGTGGTGTTGCGTAAGAAGTATTGCGACGTTGTTTTAGTGGGGGAACTGCGGCGCTCGGTGGGGTGCGGCGCTCGGTGGTGAAACACGTTATCGTATAGTTAATAGTGATATTTTAACCTTATTACTAATTAGAATATGAATTTCAAGTCATAATAACGCGAACAGAGGCCCTGGGATGTATTACTGGTTGTGACACCGAGAACCGGCCCTAATATTGCGTGATGTGTTGAGAATTAATACCTCAAACGGGTATTGCATCATTCTTTATATGTGTAGGACGAGTATAAAGTGTCACCTCAAGACCCCGTCTTGTTAACATTAAACACCATCAACGCTTCATTCAGATCCAGCAATATCCATTGAATTCCTCAGACACACCAACATCCACTTCTCAACTATTCTTTTCCCCCTATACCTTCTGGGAATCGCCGCAAGCTCTTCTCTCAATGCAAGAACCATTGATTCTTCTATTTCCAGCAGACTTGACTCTGCGACCCAAGGCAAGGCTGTCGTCTCAACTGCATCTACGCACTAACTAACCAATCTTCTAGCTTATATCAACACTAACCACCTCAACCTTGTTCCTCTCGAGATCAAATCATCTACTTTGGAGATCCGCCATGGTAATGACCCTATGGAAAATCTCGTACATATCTAATCTAAAGGTAAAGCATCTCTCGGTCCCGATGCGCGGGCTGGAGGGCGGTCTCTTGAACCCCGTGGTACGATATCTTGATAGAGCAATAGCTGTATCTATGCACTAACAAATCACTAGGGGAAACTGTCGACTTTACGCCTGGCAGATTATGGGAGGATAGACGTGTCCAGACAATTGAAATCAATGGAGTCTCTTCTGTCGTGAGTGCCTGGTTTACAGACGAAGGAGTGTTGTTTAGGGTAGAACCTGCATCCCCTGGTGGTAAGCAATGGCAACCTGTCAGTCTATTTATAATAATCATGGGGAGCAGCGGATTCTATCGAGGCTGCAATTTACCAGCCTGACAGGCGCGTTTTCACAACCATTTCTAGCTGGGCCTCAAACGAGGTTAAATTCTTGGCCTCTAACACCGCGTTCGAATATAGCCATGGGGAAAGCTTTAGATTCACATGGTAAGGTTCATAAGGAGAGAAATTGCCACGTGTCTTGGACATAAAGCCAAAGGAAACCCTCAGGGCTCTATCGGGTACTATAGCGGGACTTTGAGTCCAACTGTTGGTCGAGAGCAGTTTGAACACGATTGCAATTCTAGGGAGAATAGGGGAAGTCTAGGTATTGTTGTGCTAGAGGCGTAGTGGTGCTAGCAGAGATAGTAGTGGTACGAAAACGTCATTGGAGATAACCATTTTCATTAATACAATCATTCTCCAGAAACTATTCTAGATCCAAGAACGGTCCATCCCTTATTAGCCTATGTAAGTATATCTCATTATGTGATGAATTCAGCAGCTGCCTATAGATAATCCGAGAGAAGTATATACTAAAATATTTAGTGGCCAAGCCTAGCTAGAAGGAGCTATGCTTAGAAGAGAAATTGCGAGGTATATAAGAGGTTATTGTTGGTTACTATTACACACTTAGATTCTAAATATACAATGTAATTTCCTTTTGTATAAACTGCTTGCAAATAATAATTTTACGCTGGTAAGAAGCATTCCAGCCATTGATCCAACAATCTTTTCGGCGTTCGACATGCAAAGATCTTTCTCTAAGCCAAAACTCCAGACACCACAGCTTTTGAATTCCGATACGCCCCAAACGCCAATGCCCATACCATCTCGCCCGCACTACTGTTACATATATCGAATTTTTGAACTTCCAATTCGACACTTCTCTTGTTCTTAAGCACCAACTTTACTTTCTCTTTTGATAGAGGCTGACTCTCTTCCTCTGCTAGGTGATTCAGCCGCGGAAAGGCAATTTCGCAGCGCCATCAAGATACAGAGACCAATGTTGGTCTATCTGATGCAGTCAATGAGTGATGCAGGCGAGCCTTCCAACCGATCGCTCATCACAGGCGTCTTCAAAACCTTAAGCCGATGATGCGCGAACTCGTACCGGCACTAGGCACACGGTTCCTGGTTTGAAATGAATGCAATGAGAGTGGCTGGTTGGTGTTTTTGTGTCTGTGTTACCATCAGTATGCCTTGTATTGATGTCCAAGGGCTAGCACGTACCTATCGCCAGAAAATGCGATTGAAGTGTTATTTCGATGCAGCAGAAACGGCTAAATCTCCTCACGAAGCTTGACTTTCGAGTACCTCCAGATAGTGCTCCAATGCACTCTCTGCGGCCTGTCGATGTGGATCAGTGGTCGCCAGAGTAGTTTCCTGTACTTTGATTATATGATTTAATAACTCCACTGCCTCCTTCATTTGACAGTTTCTCCAGTACACTATGGCGAGGTCACGCTGCCATGATATCTGACTACGATTAGTCTCCGGTAGCGTAGCTTGAACTTTTACGACATGTTCCAGCAACTCTACAGCTTCTTTGACCTTTCCGTTGTCCCCGTATATCACAGCAAGGGCATCTTGCGATCGTAGACGATCAAGATAAGTCACTGGCAACATAGCCTGCACCTTTACCACATGCTCTAGCAACTCTATAGCCTCTTTTATCTGCCCGTTTTCCTGGTATACTAGAGCGTTGTAAAGAAATGTTGAAGCTAATACAAAATTCACGTACCTATTACCTTAATCGCGACGCGGGAGTCTTTCGACGCTTGAGTACGGACGCTACAAGTTGAAAAAGAGGGATTTTGGCGGACAAGAACTTGTCCAACACTAGTTATAGCAGCTGGAATACATCCACACTCCCTTCAGTTCTGGCCTTTTAGGCATATCTACATCAGATTTCTTGAATTCACGGTGAGTCATCACTAGACCAATGAATTCCAACAGCACACCTACCGTCTACTTGGAATTCAATGCTATAGAAAAAATTACAGCTATCCAATCCCATAAGCAAGAATAAATGAACACGAACTTTGGACAGCGCTTCCAGAAATCTATCCAGCGGAAACCCTGCACATATTGATCTGTAAAATGCAAATACAATCACGGCGTACACATAACACAACAGATTCAAGAACAAAAAGCCCCCTTGAATCAATTGGTTTGATATATGAATTTACAGGGGCAACAATCATCACCCTACGCATAAATCCTTGGGCAAGGCCGATACTAAAATCAATTCAGCAAGAAGCACGAAGATGGCGAGATGCTTTTTCGGTTGAATATGCTTTAAGCACAGTAACCAACACGTTTCAAAGCCAATCGGTACTTGAAAACGAACTTTTGGCTTGATATATTTGCTAGCAAACAAAGGCTATAGATGACTTTCCGGTCGCTCAACTTGTTCAGTCGTATATGCTCAAAGTCTCCCAGTGCATCATGGAGATCTTTGGCGATATTTTTCGACTCGAAGCGATGCGGGTGGATGTGATTTCTGGAGAGTAAGTTATTACATGTAAGATATTGGACTAAGACTAAGTTAAAATGTTTCTGAATGCGGAATGATAGCATTGAGGGCTTAATCTGCGCCTCAAGAGAGGAGCATAATCCCATGTCGCTAGTGCTGAATACCAAAGTCCAAACAAGATCTATCCCCCCTACCCCCAGATCTCACACTATCCTTAGCGTGGCCACACCCCTCATACCCCTCCAAAACTCCGTCGGCGACTCCGCCCCCATCATCGTCTCCATCCACTCACCTTCCATCCACCCCTGCACAAAGCACGCCCCAAGAACCGTATACGTCTCATCGTCTTTTTCCTGCAGAATGAGCGGAACAGAGCATCCGGCTAGAACAGCAATATGGCACTTCTGTCCTATTTCCGACCATTTTTCAGCGATGTACGCGGGCATCAAGCCCATATACCCGGCGTCTGATATAAATGGTTGTCGGCCGCGCAGAACCTGTCTGACTATATTTCGGGCTTCAGATTCGCGGTACCCATGTACCCATGCGGAAACATGTTTAGAGAGATCCGTCTGGCATGTGTATGGATCGTCGAGAGGGGATTTGAAGTCAGGGTTAGGTGGCCATGCGGCAGTGTTATCGCCATGGCACATTGCCCAAGCTGCTCGTAGGGGGTCTTCGTAGATGTTTGAGTCGGAGTTGCGGAAGTGCTCGGTAAGTTCGATAGTCCAGCAGTGGAATTCCCAGTCAGGGTCGGTGGATTGGAGATGTACTGTTTCAGTTGATATTTGTGGAGGTTGTTGTAGGATGGTTCCAACTTGATCTATAATGAGTCCAGTACAATGTAGCACATTGTCCTGGAAATGGAGGATGGGATCTTCGAATATATCGTGTGTGATACCGTCGTCTGCGGCGTACAATCTTCCTTGTTGGTCGTTTACTATCGAGATAAATTTCATCGGGATGTAGTCCTTGCGCACAAGACAGCTGGTTTGAGTGGGGACACTCCAATCCGGCGCCCAAGACGGCGTTTTTCTGTAAAAGGAGGAGCTGTTTTCTGACGCTTCCACTGCCCCCAAGATATCCAGCGAATGGTTCTGGTCAATCCAGGCTCGAGCAAAATCAGCGTAGATGCGTTCATACGGCTTTGTGTAATGAGGCTTGAAGTCTAGGCCGGTCTTATCTTGAGCTAGGTTCCACAGTGCGAAGATCTTATCTCTGGGATCAGTGCTCTCAAAATCCCGAGCCATTATGACTGCTTCCAGAAAACCTGGTGCATCTTCACTCGTCTTAACGTAAACGAATCCCAGTCCGATACCACCATTCGCCAAATGTCGAAAATAGAAGAGCTTACGTGCATAAGACAACGTATCTATTTCAATCTCTTTCAGAGCTGGATCGGCTTCTTTCATTCGCTTGGAAAGTCTTTTATCGCGGCTCAACATGTCCTGAAGCTTATGCGCAGCCGATTCAAGATAATCCCAACTATCTTTTCGACCAGGGATGCATACTACCATTGGATTCGAAGCATAAGCAATTTCCTGGAAAATTCTTAGTAGATCAAAATGGTTTTTGGGTTTCAGAAGTTACCTGCAGCATCCATATCCGCCGGAAGTATTGCCTACAAAAAAGCCTGTATAGGCCTGCACATAGCTTTGCTAATTGATCAGGCTTAATGGTATTCTCGTTGCCGTCGCTTTGGCCGCGTAGGACGTCTTCCGATGGGAAATGGAACTCGTTGGACTCATTTTTGCGGACGATTGGGTGTTTGAAGAGTTCTTTTGTAAAAGAGAATACTGACTCACTCCCTTCGGTGGGATTCCCGATATATGAGTAGACTGCGGTAGCAAAGTCATATATCTCCCCCATACGCGGCACCTGCCGAGCGCGCTCAATCAAGTCTTTTTGGTTGATCGACAGAGCGTCTATCCAAACTGGCATGATGACATTAGGGTTTCTTATGACACGAATAGCTTCAGCGAGGTTCTTGCGGACTGTCATCTTTTGTCCTGCCATTATAATCTGTTCCTGAGTATCATCCACGCCCCAACAGTCTTCAAACCAAAGTCAGTTTTTTTTGGGTTTGTCTTCTTTCCATTTATGTTCAAGAACTTACAAGAGAGAGCAGTATAATGTTCGTTAGTGTCAATCGGACAATGCGCCACATGAATGAGTATGGGCGCATGTGCATCCTGAGCAGGCATTATGCACATGATTCTGATTTCATCAGCCACCATATCCAGTGGCATGTATTGGAAGTCCATGGTTGGTTCGTCCAAACTGGCACTGGTACCCAGGCGGATGGGGCACACCCTAGGTACGACTAGCTGGTCTGGAACACCATACCATTGCTTGTGCTGTGCAAAACGGCTTCGAGAAACGACGCGACGAAAGTAGCCGCTCTCCACAAGATGGTCGTTAGTCTCGTGCATATCAAATACTTCATAAGCCCGCGTATACATGAAATCGCTAAAATCGCGGGTCCAATACGCCTTCTGCTCTTGTTGGTCTGATTCCACTACACAGGCATATCGTACCCAAACATATGTTGGTCTGTCAACCGTTGTACGAAAGTAGCGTAAAAATCTTTCCAAGGCAAACGAGAGAAACAAGGCCTTCCCGTCTACCTCTATAGGCTGTCTATACTCTCGGTGTCCTCTTGCATTCTTGATTGCAACAAAAGGAGGAAGTTCAGTGAGGGGGTATGTTGTAAGGGTGCAGCGCACATGCTCAACTGCTTCATTTGCTGGATTCAAGAGCAACAAACGAGCCTCGCTCGGATCGAGACGAAGTGGTGTGTATTCCATCTGGGGCACGAGTAACCTGTCCGAACCATCTTTGGTGACGGTGTAGAGATCATTTTTTAGTAGGGGTGTGATCTTGGGCGATGCAGGTTTATTGGTCGTTTCGTCAGATGGTGTGTCGTTATGTAATGGTGATGGAACAAGAGGGTCAGCAGTCAAAGACTGTTTATCTTTTACCGATATCATCGAAATCAGAGATGGAGGAATAGAACAAGGTAAGATGACAAAGAGTTCTGTAGACTAGTGCATGTCACTTTGCGAACCCAGCCTTTTATTGATCGTGTTAGCGTAGCGGGGTACACAACGGTTGCCTAAACACAGCCCAGATAAGCGAGATGGTACCAGAGCTACTGCTGGTTAAGGGTAGTGCGATGAACTATCTAGGGGTGTCGCGTACAGAACAGCTTTGTGTGAACAGCTCTCAACTCATAAAATATTGCCCTCAATCGTGATTAATCCCATGATGTGCTATACAACTTCGAACTCGTAATAGACGTATGCGGTGTACTCCTGGTCGCCCATGTGTCCAGCTTGTTGCATGTCAATGGACATGGACTGGTCGTCCTTCTTGATGCGGCCTTTGCTATCACGGCCGAAAGCGTTGCCACCAAGGTATGAGTAGGCTGTATCAAGGTTTGCCTTTGCTTTTTTCGCCGATTTGGCGTCGGTCTTGGCAGTGTTAGTATTCAAGCAACGGCACAACTGGTGTAAATGAACTCACCTGAACAATGCCGCATACAAAATCCAGCGGTAGGCCGTACCTCAGCACGGTTTCCACAAACACTCTGAGTGCTAGGACATGAATCCAGATCATAGCACTCTCGCTGTATCCTGTGCGACCTAGCCGCAGCGCCTCACCCCAGAGCTTGCGCTCATCCTTGGCCAATTGGTCGGCCTCCTTTGCCTCCTCTTCCTTTCCACCTTCCTTGTACGTGTATTCTCTCGGAGTCCATCGCTTTTCCCTGCACTTATGGACAAACTCGTTGGAGTGCTTTTTGAATGTTGTGACGGCGAACAGGGTAAACTCATCATCCTGTGCAATCTTGTTGGCGGAGCGGGGGACAACCATGGGGCTCAGCTCTTCGTATGCCTGGTAGAAGTCTTTCACAGCCGTGTTGGGGACGGCAATGAGGTGTGTATCGAGGTATTCAGAGTCGCGGACGATGGACTTGGGATTGACGACATTGACGAGGGACTTGGTAGACAAGTTGCCGGTGCGCTTTCGCTCTGCGGCTGCAAGGGCGCCCTTTGTCTGGTTGTACTGGCTGAACTTGGACTTGACATCGTTGTCGATACCTTGTATCTCCTGCGCGCGCGGTTAGTCTGCTGGGTGGTGCAATGACTATGCCCTGCGGCCTACCTTTTGTAGTGCATCTATGAGATCTGCGATGGGCTTGTCTGCGCGGTACTTGACCTTGTTCCACTGGAAGCTGCGCAGGTACTGGTCGACGGGCTCTGCATTATGTGAGCTCTTGGGTACCATTCACTCGGCCAGTCCCCCCACGTACTGTCATTTATCGTCTTCTGCTGCTGCACCTTGGACTCGTCGCCGTCGAGAATCTGGCGCAGACTCTCTCCGACCTTTGCGACTACACCCTCGCAGGCATTACTGAGCTTGGAAAGTTCATCGGCCTGCTGGACGAGGGCATCCAGGGTTCCGATCTTGAAGTTGGGTATGGCGAACGGAGAAGTGTTGCCAACGTCATTGGTCACGGTGGAGCGCAAGGCCGTCAGGGCGTCATCGTGGTGATTCGAGGGGGAGATAGACGTCGGCAGCGACACCAGCAGGTACTTGCTGCCCTTGGACATGGTTGCTGCAGTCGTCTCGGGGCGATCGGGTCGCGATATAGACAGCTATGGGAACGATGTCTGCATTCGTGGATGCAATCCAGCTTCGGAGCTTGGATCGCCGGGCGGCCCAGCTATCTGCCCGCCGGCGTCATTGGCGCTCTGACTATATAACTTCCATCCGCCGCCGATACCCGTCGGACAGCCAGCAACAGCATTTCCTCCCCATCCACACAAAATGGCCTCCAGAAAAGCAGTCGTTGCGTTGCGCCCGGTAGCCAATGCCCTTGCGCCCCAGGTTGGAAGACTTCAATGCCCAAAAGCCGCCCGGTATTCAACCAGATCATGCACACTGCCAGCCCCGCGACCCCGCAACTTCACAGGACCAGCGCGAAAGCATGTGCGATGGGCTTCTTCACAAGCAGCAGACGAACAGCTGGGCAAGACTGGCTTATATGAGTTACACAGCAAGTATGGCGCCAAGTTTGTGCCCTTTGGCGGATACTTGATGCCTGTCCAATACAGCGACTTGAGCATCATCGACTCGCACAATTGGACGCGCGAAAAAGCCAGTTTGTTTGATGTCGGCCACATGTAAGACGCCATACACAGCCAGGGTGGTGGTGAAAGACGGTTCTGTAAGCTAACCATATTCAGGGTCCAGCACCACTTTTCTGGTCCCGGTGCCGAGGCCTTCCTCGAGAGCATCACTCCCTCTGCCCTCTCTGCCCTGCCCAAGCATCAGTCTACCCTCTCAACCCTGCTCAACTCCAATGGTGGCATTGTTGACGACACTGTCATCACGCGCCTCACTGACAGGTTTTATGTTGTGACAAATGCAGGCTGTCGAGAAAAGGACACTGCATACTTCAAGGCACAGCTGGACTCATGGAAGAGCAAGCATTCTGGTCAACCAGTCGAATGGCAGATTCTAGACGGACAAGGCCTTGTCGCCCTCCAGGGACCCCTCTCCTCCGAGATCCTCTCCCGTGTGCTTGACGACAAGTCAAAGAAGGACCTTGAATCACTCTACTTTGGCCAGTGTGCCAATGCGACCATCAAGGGTACCGATGCCGAGGTGCTTGTTAGCCGTGGTGGCTATACTGGCGAAGATGGCTTTGAGATCAGTATTCCTGCTTATGCCACCGAAGCCGTCACTCAATACTTGCTTGACTCGGCCAAAGACGAGCTGCGATTTGCAGGTCTCGGAGCACGCGACACCCTTAGACTAGAAGCCGGCATGTGTCTTTATGGCCATGACCTAGACGACACCACAACACCTGTCGAGGCCGGCCTTTCCTGGATCATCGGCAAAGACCGCCGCGCAAAAGGCGGCTTCCTCGGCGACTCTGTCATTCTGCAACAACTAAAGAAAAAGTCGGAAGGCGGAGGTGTTTCACGCCGTCGAGTAGGTCTCGTCGTTGAGGGATCCCCCGCCCGAGAAGGCGCTGAGATTGTCAATGAGGCTGGTGAGAAGATTGGCAACATCACCTCTGGCTGCCCATCACCTACCCTCAAGAAAAACATTGCCATGGGTTACATACAAGACGGCATGCACAAGGCGGGCACTGAAGTCGATGTTGTGGTTCGTGGTAAGAAGCGAAAGGCTGTCGTCACAAAGATGCCATTCGTACCAAGCAAATATTTCAAACAGCCAGCCAACGTAAAGGCATAGATTGTTGCTGAACATCCGGAATTTTGGCATCTTCAACCTGCCATTACCTCTTTGAGCGCACCATTGCACTGAGCTAATCAATTTCTCGCAGCACTGGTAACTTGCCTAGTCTCCCTCGCGGCTCTTAGTAGCTGCCAGCGATTTACATTGCGCATGGCATTGCATAAGAATATTATTATGACTAAATCCATTGGTCCCCATCCGTTAGTCTGTCGCCATTGGCGCAAGTCCAAGCGGTGTGCTCATCAAACATGTTTGTAAAACTAGTAGAGACGTAGTCCAAGTCAAAAGAAGACTTAGGAACACTCGAAATCTCAACATGGCTTGGCTCGGGGCGATCCTCACAAGCAATACGGCAACTAGACCGCCGCCGTACAATAGATACAAGATAGTACCGCGAATCAAGTCACTTTTCCATGACCAATCTTACCTGTCCATTATCCAAAAAAATGAACTCTGGCGTTTTGAAATTGACTCTAACGGGGCCTTTTCCGTCGGGTCCGTTCGCATATCACCGACCCCAGATCCTAGTCCTTGGCAAGGACCTCTATTACACACTTGCCCGACGGCAAAGATGAAGAATGCGATTTCTGTGCCGGCTACTTCAGGCTATCTGCTATGCGAGTTCTTTATGCACACTTGTCAAGTTCAGTTATGAGTATGGAGAGAATAACTAGTGAGGACTTGGGATGAGGAATGTAGTCACGTGGCCAAGTCTAGACATTTTGAATGGCACTGCATGTGATGATGCGGTATTGTAGTTGGATATTCGTTCAAGACGGATTGCGTCAAGAATTGAGGGTATAGCTGGACTTTTGGCCATGTATACATCCACCATGGCCACCTCTTTGAGATAACCACCGTATCTTCAAATCCTCGGAGATCCATCATCATCTGGCATTTTCATGCCACCAGATCCCCTCATGAATTCTTCAGGAATCCCAATCTCTTCCTCCCGTCCCTCACCGTCCCCTCCCCCTCCCTCGACCTCTTCCTCGACCTCCACCCCGCCCCCGTCCCCCCTTGCCCCTCGGCCCGGCGCGCTCATAAATCTTTACATCCTCAAACGCGCTATCCGCAACCCGAATATAGCTCGGAATCCCATTATCCACCACAGCAAGCACCACATTCCTTCTCCCATGCTTCAACCTCTGATATGGCTGATCCGTCTCTTTGGGTGGATCCTCGGGCACCTGCGCCATGAGATCGTTGAGCTGTGCGCCCGTGGGAATAGGCGTGGTGCGGGCGTCTACAACGCAGATGCGAAAATCGGGGGGACCGCGAGCGGATTTGCGAAATTTGGAGGTTGTACGGTAGACGTCGAAGTGGATGCGGTAGGGATTTTCTGGCGAAGAAGGTAAGAGGAAAGTAGGTGGTGCGGTGCGGTCGTGGGTTGGGATTAGTCTTAGGAGGCGGTAGATATCGGTGTATGATCTGAAGAGGCCGGGTTTGAGGAGGGGCCCGAAGGCGAGGTTGGAGACGGGAATGGTGTAGGTTGGATGGCTTAGGCGCCGCCAGATTTCGGAGAAGAAGCGGGTTATGACGTTGGAGCTGGAGGTGGCTTCTTGCTCAGATCTTGGGGGTGCTTCGACGATTTCGCCTCGGTCGTGGTCCCATGATCCGGTGCGGAAGATGACATAGCCTGATCTTTTCAGACCGGCGTAGACATTGTACATTTCCAATGTGAGTTTTCCTCCTACACCACCCTCAAAACCAATAAAGGCTGCATAGGCGGATTGCAGACTCATGGGTGCGCCATCTTCGGTCCTGTATACCGTCTTGTCGCCGATTTCGCGTTTTACCGGCCATCGACAGTCCAAGGTTCCTCTTTCAAGTAAGAACAATGCTTCTTCTGGCAACAGCCACTCTTTTCCTCCCTTGTTTGTGCCTATGGTTTGGAAGTGTTGTGACTTGACTTTGTCTACGCAAGCCATGTTGCGCTCTGGGTCATACATGGCTAGGACATGGCCCTTTTGCGTGTGTGTACGCTGCCATGACAAGACGCCATGCATGGCCCGGCGCGAGGCCTCGAGAGTGTCGAGCTGGAGGTTTGTCTCATGACTTTCAAAGTCCTTCTCGCCGCGCTTTGGTAGTGTTGGGTGTGCGCTATCTTGTGCTCTGTCGCGCGAGCATTAGCATTGCAGAAGGATGGAAAAAAACTACAGGCTGCGCATGCGAGATGACGCACGTCAATTTCTCAAGAAGTCGAAAGTCTTGGGCCTCCTCAGTGGGATCATAATCTGTCGCGTCAGGTGCGCGCAGGTGCGAGATGTCCTCATCTTGATCGGCCATGACCGGGAAAAATACTTGTGAGTGCGACGACGGGACTCTGGTGGGGAAAGGTGGCGGTCGGCACTGCGAACGTTGTGGGCGGGTTGCCGTCGGCATCCCATCGGCATCCTGTCGGCACCAGGCTAGGAGCGTCTCGACAACAGTGTGCCGTCTTGTCAGAGCATCTTGCCTGTCAAAGTTCAAACTCAACCCACTGTTATGGTATACTAGTCTATCACTACGGGGGCTTTCGGAGCTTGATTCCTCCATTGTGCTGCCGATATCACACGATTTGGGAAGATTACTGTAACACAGAGCGGGGAAAGACATTCAGAATGCATGCAATGACAAAGGAGGAGCATCGAGACTGATCCAGGAAGTGGCATGAGCAGGATCATGGATTGCAGGGTAATATGTTGGACTTATAGATTGAAGACGCATTGACTGGCAGAAATGCTATATAAGCTCTGTTATGTCTGCTGGATTGAATCATCACACGTTCGAATACAATCTATTCATTCAATATCAATTCTCTTGACTCCAAGTTCCCAAACTATCATCATGCCTCTTACCAAGTACAAGGCTGCTGCCGTATGTCTGTCCCTGTTCAAACAATCTGGGATAACATCGAAGCCAGTCTAATCAAACTCTAGGTCACTTCTGAGCCATGCTGGTTCGACCTTGAAGCCGGTGTTCAGAAGACCATCAACTTCATCAACGAGGCTGGCCAAGCTGGTTGCAAGCTCGTTGCTTTTCCAGAAGTCTGGATTCCTGGTTACCCCTACTGGATGTGGAAGGTCAACTACCAGCAGTCACTTCCTCTATTGAAGAAGTACCGCGAGAACTCCCTTCCAATTGACTCTGAGGAATTTAGACGTATCCGCCGCGCGGCCCGGGACAACCAAATGTAAGCCAAGATTCCGTGCACTCGTAAGCGTCTCTAACACCGCCCAGCTATGTCTCTCTTGGCTTCTCCGAGATTGATCATGCCACCCTGTACCTCACTCAGACTTTGATTGACCCAACGGGCGAGGTAATCAACCACCGCCGAAAGATCAAGCCTACCCACGTTGAGAAACTGGTCTACGGTGATGGCTCTGGTGATACTTTCAAGTCTGTCACTCAGACTGAACTTGGTCGTCTAGGTCAGCTGAACTGCTGGGAGAACATGAACCCTTTTCTCAAGTCGCTCAACGTCTCTGAGGGCGAGCAGATCCATATCGCAGCGTGGCCGGTGTATCCTGGTAAAGAAACTCTCAAGTACCCTGACCCGGCCACTAACGTTTCGGACCCTGCCTCTGACCTGGTTACGCCCGCTTACGCCATCGAGACTGGCACCTGGACCCTTGCACCCTTCCAGAGACTGAGTGTAGAAGGACTCAAGAAGAACACGCCCGAGGGTGTCGAGCCTGAGACTGATCCTACCACCTACAACGGCCACGCCCGTATTTACAAGCCTGACGGCACGCTTGTGTCTAAGCCTGACCCAGACTTTGATGGTCTCCTGTTTGTTGACGTATGTTCTCACTCTAACCGTATCTGTTTGCCGATTACTAACAAACAAAAGATTGATCTGAACGAGTGCCACTTGACCAAGGCACTTGCCGACTTCTCAGGCCACTACATGCGACCCGATCTCATCCGGCTGCTTGTCGACACCCGACGCAAGGAGCTTATCACTGAGGCCGATCCTCAGGGGGGCATTTCGACCTATTCCACCCGTGACCGTCTTGGCTTGAACACACCACTCGATGGAGGTGTGAAGAAGCAGAAGAAGGTTGTTGCTGCTGAAGCCGAGTCAGCCAACACTACTGCGCTCTAGATGTTACTGCGCATTAATAAGCTTCCAAAATTCTGATTTTGCCTTTGTATCATAGTTGCATAACGTCACTACGCCCAAATTGATTACTTTACTCTTCTTGATTACTTGATCCCCTGGCATGGGTCTTAAAAGGTGCTTCAGCAAACGATTAGTTGACAAGTCGGCTGCACTTCATTGATTAGTGGATCAATGCACGCATCCTAGTCAGTTTATCGTCATATGCTAAATTTCTTCCACCCATGTCAGAATATAGTTGATAGCGGGCCGTTGCGTTGCCGACCCCGATTTGATGATGGATAGCGTGAAGATTGGTTGACACGTGATATGTGGCGGATTTAGAGTTCACAAGATCCGAGCTTGAGCTAAAAGGCGGTGGCAGAATCTAGCGCGAACTGATCTTCGCGCGCGCAACTTTTCGAAAAGTTACCACTTGATAGTTCATCGCAAACCACAACCCACACGACCCCCACCATGCCGTCCACACATAATGTAGATAAACCCTGGGATACGGACGATATCGATAAGTGGAAGGTATGTTTGCGCCGATAATATATATCCGCATGCGCCAGATCCTAATTTTGCGTAGATTGAGCCCTTCAAGCCCGAAGATAATAAAGCCGGCGCATTCACAGACGAGTCCCGCTTCAGCACCCTCTTTCCCAAGTATCGCGAGCAGTATCTCAAGGGATCATGGAAGTTCATTACCCAAGCGCTGCAGAGACTGGGCATCGGATGCGAGCTCAACTTGGTTGAGGGCTCCATGACTGTATGGACCACACAAAAGACGTACGATCCAGCCGCAATCCTGAATGCACGCGATCTCATCAAGCTACTTGCTCGAAGTGTGCCAGCGCCACAAGCTATCAAAATCCTCGAAGACGATGTGGCTATGGACATTATTAAGATTCGGAACTTGGTGGGCAACAAGGAGCGTTTTGTCAAGAGAAGACAGCGTATCCTGGGACCCAATGGATCAACGCTCAAGGCTCTGGAATTGCTCACTGAGTGTTATCTGCTCGTGCAAGGAAACACAGTAGCCTGTATGGGCCCTTACAAAGGACTCAAGCAAGTACGGCGCATCATCGAGGACACCATGCACAACATTCACCCCATCTACGCTATCAAAGAGCTCATGATCAAGAAAGAGCTTGCCAAGGATCCCGAACTCGCCAACGAGAGCTGGGATCGCTTCCTGCCAAATTTTAAGAAACGATCTCTCAGCAAGCGCCGCATACCCCACAAGGTCAACGACAAGTCGAAGAAGCCGTACACGCCATTCCCGCCACCTCAGGAAAAGAGCAAGGTCGATCTGCAGATCGAGAGCGGAGAGTACTTCTTGGGCAAGCATGCGAAGGAGAGGAAAGCTCAGGAAGAGAGGGAGGAGAAGATGAAGGAGAAAATGGACGCCAAGAGGAAAGAAAGAATGGCCGAGTATGTGGCACCAGAAGAGGATGGCGACAAGAAGAAAAAGAAGCGCAAGCGGGAAGAAGGCGAGGGAAAGGACAAGAAGAAAAAGAAGAAGCACAGCGCCGAGGGCGAGGCCAATGGCGATGCAGCATGAGACATTTCCTTTTTGTAAAGTTTATTGTGGAACGATTTATCTGCATTCTTTTCTCTTTAAGCTACATCAAATTCTAAGAGGTCAGGGTCGTATCGATTGAATGGCGGAGTAAAAGTACAGCAGTCTGAGCGACACTCTATAGTATTGTTAGGTGTTTAGGATATTCTGATAAGTTGAAATACCCATTTTCTCTTTGCTTGGAAAGGTCACACTCAAAGTACTATTAGCAGCACGTGTAAGCGCAGGACTTGGCGCTCTAAACTTAGCGACATGGGTCAAACATCTTATGTCTCAAGTCCTGACATAATATGTCCACGTCGATTTCCACTCATCATGTCCACTTGGCCCTTCTGAGTGTTCGAATCTTTACTTACAATCTGTGTTATGCCCATATCTCAAAATGCGCACCTACATTTCTCCACGGAATGCTGTTATCTTGGCGTGTTCTCCACGGCTGGTCTGGGGATGGCACTGCTGGAGTAAAAGTCCGCTATACACAATTGATCTTCAGAGCTCTTTGAACGGCTTGAAAGAATACGCGTTTTGTTCTGAATCCCCAGGATCCCCGGCCTTGGCAAACGACACGAAAAAGGAAGACTATGGGCCATGGTCACATGCACCCGTCTGCACATCCATTCTCCCAAGCATCAACGACAAGCTATGCGTATACACCGATACATCTTTTGCTCAAAACCGAGGAATCTCAATATTCACCACACCAAGTCTGGCCAAGGACTTCGCATCGCTGCCCGCATTTCGCGATGCATCAGCCCTCGTATCTCAATCTATCAACAAGCCCACAGATACCTACCACGCCACATCCATCCCAGGAAAAGGCATCGGAATGCTCGCCTCGCGGCCCCTGAAATTTGGAGAGCGGGTCACAGCCTATACCCCTGCATTCCTAGCCTACTTGGAATCCGAACTATCCACACTAGACCGTGAAGCCCTCTGGCGCACCGCCATCGAGCAACTCCCCGCGGAGCTGAAGGAGAAGTTTCTCGGTCTCGCAACCGTATACGGCGACCCTAGAGTCCAGATCCAGGATATCGTTAAAGCGAATACGTTCCAGGTGCTGCTAAATGGGGTAAATCATCTAGCCGTGTGGCCAGAGACTAGTCGTTTGAACCACGCTTGTGCACCAAAGTACGTTTTCATGTTACTCTATCAGCCCCCCCCCCCCAAAAAAACAAAAGACAATGAAAAAGCTAATGAAAAGGGAACAATAGTGCACAATACGTCATAGACACCGACTTGCTGTCCCACACCGTCCGCATCACACGCCCCATTGCCAAAGGCGAAGAAATAACAATCTCATGTATTCACCCCTCCACTATCACACCGCTCTCTATCCCGCCAGTCTAACCACCCGCAAATCTAGATACCTCGCCCCTCGACCCAACAGAAACCCGCCAACACCACCTCGCCCAAGGCTTCCACTTCACCTGCACATGCCCCCGCTGCACATCCCCCATCTCCGACATCAACCTCTCCATCATCAATGATCTGCAGGCCCAGCTCAACGACTGGTCTGATGCCTCGCTAGGCTCGCCCCAGGTTGCTGAGGAACTCATGATGTTGTATCGAGAAGAGGGGTTGGAGGGATTCATGGATACGCCGTATGGGTTTGCGGCGTTGGCGTATAGTGCGGTGGGGGATGCGGAGATGGCGGTGCGGTATGCGAGGATGGCGAAGAAGGCAGTGTTGATGAAAGATGGACGGGGATCGCAGAATCTGGGGATTTGGGAGGAGATGATTCGGGGAGTGAGGGCGCATTGGAGTTGGAGGCGAAGGCTTTAATATTAGAAATTGGTTTATTAAGGTAATTTCTATCTAGTATAAAAGAGTGAAACGTGGGGATCGTCAATCTAACTTATGTACAAAAGTGGGATAGAGGGGAGAATTATGCGCCTCCGGCGGCTATGATCTTCTTTCCTTTAACGCTCTTCTGCTCCATGCCCAAACTGACGAGGAAAGCAATGCAGCTCGTTGCAATGGCCAAGATGAACGCTGTAACAATCGAGTTGTTGTATCCACGCAACACGCCCGCCAACAACTCCTTAGGCACTACGTTCCTCAAATTCGTAGCTCCGGCATGCGCAACCATCCTGCCGTCAAGGCCAGGTGCGTACTTTGGAATCTCCTGGGCCAGGGTATTGACAAAGATATTCTGCGCAATGGAAATCGATAGCGCACCGCCTAGCGAGTTGAAAAACATGACGCACGCATTCGCAGTCGGCATATCCTTCTCAGTCGACACGACTTGCACGGCGACAAATGGGATCTGGACGCCTGCTCCGGCGCCAATACCAGCGAGGATTTGGTACCCGATCCATTCGCCTGCTGGAGACCCGACTTTGAGCGTGTACAGCATGCCTGCGCCAATGGCGAAGACGGCACTGCCGAACCACATGAAGGGGGCGTACCAGCCGACGATGGTGATAAGGGCGCCGATGACGATGGAGGAGCAGGTGATGCTGACGAGGTAGGCGATGGTGCGGATGCCGGATTCTTCAGCTGTGGTGCCTTTGATGGCTTGGAAGTAGAAGGGGAGGTAGAAGATGTGCCTGGTCGGAGTTAGTAACTGTTAGATTTTAGACGAGGGGGTTACCAGGGCGACTAACGTATACAAAGCCATTGATAGCAACGCCGAGAACAAGCTACTGACTAGTATCGTTCGCTGAGTAAAGACACGCACGGGCAGCGTAGCACGTTCGCCCTGTTTGACCTGCAAGAAGATGAAAACGCTGATGAGCAGACCGAATCCGAGTAGGGTACCCCAAACTTTGGAGTTGCTCCAAGCGTAGGTAAAGCCACCCCATTGCAGTGCCAGCAGCAGACAAACGATAGCACAGATGAGGAACACCGCACCGGCAATATCGATATTCTTGAGTCGTTCCTTGACAGGGATATGCGAGTATTTGCGTTCAGGGTTCGAAAAGAAGAAAAACACAACCGCGAGCGAGACACCTCCAAACGGTAGGTTGATCCAGAAGCACCACCTCCAAGAGAGACGATCAGTAAAGGCGCCCCCTAGAATTGGCCCTACAACGGAGGCGATGCCTGGATTGTGTTAGTACCGTACACTGACCTCGGGACGAACTGGTTTACATACCAAACATGGAAGACAAAGCAGCGATGTAGATAGCCCTCTTCCTCAGGGGTACCGAGAAACCAATAATCGTCATACCGCCCGAGTACAGCGCCGCTGCTCCAGCACCCGCGACTGCTCTTCCAATGATAAACATGGACGAGCTAGTAGCCGCAGCGCAGATAATGGAGCCGACTTCAAAGATAATCAGTGCGCCCAGATACGTGTATTTGACATCGAAGTAGGTGTAGATTTTGCCAAAGGACGGTTGGAGAGAGGTTGTTGTCAGGAGGTACGAAGAGCCGTACCATCCAACATCCTCGAGACTGTTGAAGACGGTTGTGATTTTCGGGATGGCTGTGGCGATGATTGTGTTGTCGAGTGCAATGACAAAGGTGACGAGGCATAGGCCGATGGAGAGAATTGCAAGTTTGAAGCCGCTGAGGTATTTGGACTCATCTTCAACTTCATCCTCGGCCTCGGCGTCGTCTTTTCCAGTAACCTCCAATCCACCTTTTTCCTTTTCTGTCTCGGTGACAGTGGTGTTCTCCCGTGGCGCGGTATCTGTACTCTTTCGCGGCTCGCTAGGTTGTGCTTGAGTACCGTCGTTGGTGGCTGTCATTGCGGTGTGTGGAGTGTCCTCCGGCTTTGTTGTACTCTCGTCGAAGCTCCCTTGCGCATACGATCCTTGGTCGCGAAGCGTTGTGGTTGCGCTGACAGAAGTGTCGGCTGGTAACATCTTGCCTGTGTACCCAGAATGACCCAGCGTAGATCAGGCGGTCTTGTGGTGTTGTGTACTACGTGATAATTGGTAATGAATGTTTAGTCACGTATCAAGCCGTGGCACGACAAAATGTATGCTTGTCGTGTGATTTACAACCTCGCAAAAAGTCTCGCAAAGAGAGAGAGATGTCGATGAGGTTCGAAAGAGGCATTACAGCAGCCTTAAAGGACTTGAAGAACGGCATGCAAAGCTGCTCACGCGCCACAGTTACCATGCAACCACACCGTACCATGACCGTATACTATACGGTCCGCTCATGGGCAAATGAGCTACTCTAACCGAGCATGCCTTGGCTCGGGGTGATGTTATTCCGATGCGCATGGCCAATAAGAATAACAAGGGGCAAATGCGAACGCGACGTTTGTGCTTGGCGGCATGACTCTAGTCTAGCTATGGGCGTTTGTGGCTTCGTGGTATCCTGGAAGAATTTGCCCTGTGCCGTACTCAGGGGTCTGGCCCTTCTTACGCCATCGAGTCAAGGAGAATATTCGGCTCATGAGATGGTTCGACGACGGCTTCTTTGTTTTGACTACATATGGAAAATCACGCGATTAGTCATGTATATCGTATAGATGCATCGGATCGGCACCGTTGTGGCAAAAAGGCTTACGAGAAGAAAGCCGGTAGTTCCATTGGTCCTTCAGGGAAATGTACGATACCCAAAAAATTCTCAACGCAAATGAGTCGCCAATGGAATTCCCATGTTAAGGGTGTGGTGGCTCCGCGGCGGTGAGTATCAATTCGTAGCGATGTTGTGCAAGCGCACGTGCGGTGCACTGGTGGCGGGGTAATAAAAGTTTTTGTTTTGGCTACATAGGCGAGCTTCAAGCTTCATCCTTGATCCTTGGCGCGGCGGGCCGTTTCGCTCCCGAAAGCGTACCATGTGCTCGTGTGTATTTATGTAGAACGTGAATAGGTAGCCAAGACATGATCGCTATGCTGCAGTAAGAGTAATATAGTACAATTTTGAAGTGTTGTGCTTTGAATAACATACATTGAACCAATGAGATGCAAAGCATAAGCAGTCCCAAAGCGGCGCCGAATCAATGGCCCCCAATCTGTTGTCATCAAATGCCTTGTCCCAATCAGACTTGATCAATTTTGCCGTACCGCTTCAGGCTTATATGTCGTATGGCAGCTGCATCACTACGGTAAAATTAGTAAATCCTTGTCGGATGTGTATGGAGGAGCATCTGACCTTTGCCAGGCACATCTCACAGGATGTTTCCACCTTGACTGTGGCCATGATTACGCCGTCGTGTCCGCGTTTGCATTTTTGTTGGATCATTTGGCCTTTGGGACATAGCTGTTGGAATACTATCTGCGTATGTCCGCATTGGTGAGTGTAGGCGTGGTAGAAGCACATGATGCGTATTGGTTTCGACTGTTGAAATCTGATTGTGGTACTGACAAGAGTGTTGGCTGTAGTAAAGTTGCGGCTTGTTGAATCTGACTTTAAACAGCCGTTTGGAAAGTGAATCTCTGCAAAATTTTCGCTCAAGCGACGTTTGTTTGCGGATGGTGAAAGGGCTAGCACTCTTTGCTGCTCATGAAGGAGGGGTCGCAGTCGTACTCAGTGAAATCGACGGATTGTAATACGGATTAGTTTCCTTAGAAAGGTTATGTGAAAGTGAGCGGCAATATAAAGATGAATCTACAGAATGAGAAACTCAGAGCATGCAAGATGGCTAGAACGAGGGCCAGTGCTGTGTTGGGCTCTTGGGTGCATTTTTGACCTCTTTATCTCGCCAGGTGTTCGTCGCGTTGGGCACAATCGTCTTTTGTTCCTGATGTGGTGCAGTTTGATGTATGGAAACTATCAAACAATTAGGATTCATCAATCTTACCCGACAGTACTGAACAATCCGTTCTTGGGAACAATGGATAGAAAGATTTCACCTCGGGAAGAGCCGGATAGGAGGTAGATGGCCAATCACCACGAAATTTACAGGACGAAGTCGCACAGAGTCGTTGAACAGTAGGTTGATGTCTCTTTTGACTCGAATTGTTTTTGCGGGAAGGCGGCTTCATTACTTTGTAAGCGACAGCGGAACATCCGGGTAGGTGAGTACAAGGTAACTAGTTGAAGTGCCGTGTTCCACAAACGCATGCTTGTTGGCACCGATGGCTGTTCTGGGAGATGGACAAACATAGGTCTCAGCCATAATGGGCATTGATCTCTCAGACTTGTAGCACTGTAGCAACCAACACGGAAGTTTGTTGTTTGATTCGCAAGACTAGGCGTTTATTCGCGTATGTTATGATTTTATGGGTCCCGTCTGACCGTGCGGATGCAACAAGCAAGGGAATGCTTGTGGGATTTTTCTTGATCGGGAACCAAGGCTAGGGTGTCATAAGTGCTATCGAGATTGAATCTATAGTAGGTGTCCGAAGGGAATGAGTCCGATCCCGGCCGCGATCCGTCGGCATCCTTGAGCAGCCAAGCAAGGCATTGGGGTAGGTCCGTCTCGTCTAGCATGTTCCGTGTCATATTTTCAGAGCATGTACATAATTTGAAGAGGGGGCTAGGGTAGGTGACGAAGCTTGATGTTTGCGAGGTATCGATAACATTCAGGCTAGTGTTTTCTGAAGCTTTGCATCCAATCAGAACATGGCCTCACCGCTAATTCGGGTGGAGTCACTGGGGGAGAAGAAGGCGGTGCCAGTCCTGCTTGGAGAGTGCAGATGACGAGACGACAATAGTCTCGTGGCTGTCGATAGCTGCTAGGTGTGGGGAAGAGGGCTGGTGGTGTGCTGGTAGGGAGGGTAGGTAGTAGAGACAAGCGCGGCTCCATGGGCATTTTAGCCTTGTAGGTCGCTGCATTGCCAGCTGGGGACGTGCGGACTGCCTCGGGTCAACCTGTCGGTCGAGTAGAAAAGGACGCCAGGGACATGGAGGCTTCTCAGCGTGGGTATCGTCAGCGTGCATGCAACTAGGCTCCACGGTGGGGTTGCAGAGGACCCATGAGAAGCAGACAGTGACGATTCTCAGCAGGGCGGCGAGGGTCGCTTGTGGCTGAGTGTCCGAGGCGTGTGTAGTGTAGTGTAGAGTAGAATAGCTCCAGAGCGGGCGGCGTGGCCATGGTGGCCATGGTGGCACAACTACTACTACATGGCAATGGTACTATTAACAGGATGAGGCGGTGGAACGATGCGCTGGCAAACGGGTGTGGTGGTTCGTCTGAGACGCAGCTGCGGCACAGCCCTGCAGGTGTGTAGAGGTAGCGCAGCAGCGGGAGAAAAACTGACGTCGGTTGAGGGACAGCTGGCAACGCCTTGGCTGGAGTTGTTACGGGAAATGCAACCTGCAGCCCGGCGTGTATGTACGGACATTGATACAGGTTAGCGGAGGAGCTGGACGCTTGACACGTAGCCCACCATGGCTCGCCTGTCTGCCCATTGATGCTGGACCGGCTGCACTGCGTCTCCACGACGCCGGGTGCGTTGAGCGGGTTCATTAATACTAGCAGCCGTTTCCCTCGGGTTCGCCCTACGATTCTTCTCTTCTTGCAGCCGTTGTCATCCTGGGTGTTCGCTGTCGCTGGCGCTGTCACTGTCACTGTCGCCGTCGCCGTGTGTGTGTGTGTGTGTGCGCGCGCGCAATTGCTCTGCGCACATTTTCTCGCAGTTGTCAACACCAAGCCCTCGGCCATCGCAGCATCACGACAAGCAAATCTTGCCGCCCTCGCTCGCTCGTTCGCACCCAGCCCTGCGCATCCCGTAGCTCTTGTCGCAGTCAGTCATTGAGCGCGCGGCCAGGTCCGCCTGCTCGGCCGCGTGCCAGAGAGCTGCACTGACCGTGGCGGCCACACCGCCTGCCGACGTCACGGCCCTTTAAAGCGGTCGCATAGCCTGGCGCGCTGAGCATTGGAAATGCGCTGTCTGAGACATCAGGTCTACTACTTCTGCCAGCATCTCACCATCTCGACATCGACGCCAGACGTCTGCTAGTCCGCCGCACAGAGGGCCCTGCGTTGCCAGCCCCACTGCGCGCTTCCATTGGCTCGTCCAGCACGCCAACCGCCGAATAAGAAAAGGGCACTGGGCCCGAATCACGACATTCGCTCCGCCTACCCTGATAGAGACATATCCATTTCAAGTGAGCTTCGCTACGCCATGTGGCAGGTTAGCACTCGACTACGTCGCTGACAGTTGTCCCAGACGTCACTCATAGTCCATCATCTACCCGAGCTTCCCTATACACACCATTACCATCACTACCTCCACTACCACCACCACCACTACCTCACCCACCTCAACAATTCCCCGCCCACCTATATCTACAACACTCGCCATTGTGCCATGCTCATCACCACATCCATTGTCGTCGCCTAGTCAACAAATCTCCGAACAGCGCTTCCCACATTGGTGCGTCATCACGGGAATCGACCTTCACTCATACAAGCGACGCGCACGGACGCCCGGTCAGAAGTGGACACGCATCGATTGGCCAGCACTTGTTGTTCTGGTTTCAAGTCTTACTTCGAATCGCCGCCATCATCCCAAGGCATCGTCGGTCTGCCTGGGCCGGGCTGCACTGTGTCTATCGTCTAGGAGATACAGCGCGACGGTCCGGGTTGGCTGTTCCGGTAAGTGAGGACGAGGGCAAGGTTTCCATCATCACTCCACCAAGATAGCCCCTGTATACAATACATGCTCCGCATACCTCCGATTCCTCCTGCCATCAGTGCCTTGTTGCCATCACCACCCCTTTTCGTTGCGTCCCCAGACTTACGACCTTTGACAGACGACATTGCTGAAAGATGGCTTCTCTAGACTTTGATCAGAAGTTTCTCGGTCGGATAGCCAAACAGACAGAGGAGTCCAATCCCTTCTTGTCAAGCGCCCTCTACCAGATCTTGGGTCTGTCGGTGCTCCTAGCCCGGAGACTCATCCGTGCCAGAAAGCTCCGCAAGCTAGATACTAGTCGAGATACCCCCTCACTCTCAGCCTACCAGCATATACTATGGATGTCCCGTGAGGGCCTGTCCATACTCGAGCTATATATCCTTCCCTATGCCCAGGATAACCAGCATGGACCTGAGTGCAGAGTATTGAGCGTCAAGCTACGAGCAAGCTTCTATCACATCTTCTGCCTCTTTCACAACCAGCCACCCGTCACTGCGACCAACATGGCAAGCACTGATCCTCGCTATCCAGGCGCACCTCAGCCACTCTCTCCTAAGAATGGCAATGCTCATGGTCGCAAGACAGATACAGGCCTATCGCCCCCTTCGAAACGAGCGGGTAAACAACCGGTACTGCGTGAGCCCGTCGACTCCATCGTGTCCGAAACATCGTTTGTCACGAACCCGTATGCTGCAGGAGGTCCAGTTGGTACTCCCTCACCAGGGCCACCCATCAATGCGCCTCCAGGCCTCAACCCTATTCCTATCCCGCAGCCCTCGTCCTTTATCCTTCCACCTCTCAACTTTGTACCCTTGGCGAGTGGATACTTTACGACCGCCACACAGTATGCCACTTCCTTTCTGCCTGGCTCACATCCTTTGAGATTGTCCGTTGCGCTGGAGCACAGTGCATTCTTGTGGGACTGTCTTCACGACCACGACGGATCCCGACGCGTCGCTCGACGTGCGATCAAGGATGTTTACCGCGCGCAGGAAGCCATGGACGATACCGAGTTTGAGGACGCCGCCGAGCTCGTGGGTATTCTGGGGCGAATGATGAAGCGTAAGAGCTGGGAAGGTACACCACGCGTTGGGGGAATGGCAAGTCCGGAACCTACTGCACAGCCCGCTGCACAAGCAAGCACCTCGGAAACACCAACTCGAGCTGCTACCTCTTCCACACAGCGTCCTCAGCAAAACAGTAAAAGGGTTGCTGAAGGACCCCCTCTGGCAGACGTCTTGATACCTCCGCGGTCATCAAGTGCCACGCGCAGTCGAGCAAACACGGCGAGCAAGTCTACCCCTCGCCAGAAAGAAAGCAGCAGTCACGAAGGGACACCAAAGTCGAGTTCGCGTCGGCGTTCGGGAAGCAGCAGCAGAGACGGCACTCCCCGCGCGAAACACGTCAGTGTAGAAAGCGGTGCCAGTACAACACCTCGTGCGCCGCAAGGAAGTTCGATTCGCTCGCCTACAACGCCGTCTACAGTTCGGACTTCACACCGAACGTCGGGTAGTGCCGGCTCCTCGAAAGGAACACCGGTCGCAGGGACCTCGACGCCCTTGACCCAAAGTGCAGCTGCAACCCTTGTTTCCGAAAACATGCGCAACTCGCCATCGCTCCGCCGCTCACCCACCCTATACCCACCCGAACAATACGGCCCGCGCTATTCACCCTCGCAAGAGAGCTCATACCCGAGACAACGGAGGTGACTAGTAGAGACGGGTCGGGAAAAGCAAAGAAAGATGGAAGTGCAATGGACCGAGGGCTACCGGGAAGCCGACATTGTGCTTCTGCCATCGACGCAGCCTTCGTCGGTTTCCACCACACCCGTGAACTTTGCGGGTTCCTCCTCGTACCCAGAGTACCCTATCAAGTTTCGCATTTAGCTTTTGCCAGGACGCGCGTGCATATACCTCCCGGTGAAAGCAAACAAACTTGCCACCTCCATCATCCCCTCCCGTCGCAGATGTACAAAAGAAAAGTCATACCCCCTTGGAATCGTCTATCCACGATCCAGTTCCGACATATCCATACCTTTGTCGTACCCTTGACACTTTGTCGTCGTTTTGTACCATAACAAGCAGGCGTTGATTGGGCGTATATACTTTGTTTTCTCTCTATCTCTATCTCTCTTTTCCTTTTTCACCCTCAACAACATGTGTGTTTGCACTCTTGCATTGTAGCATACAGGAATCTTGTTCGTCAAGAGTTGTAGCTTTTTTGTTTCTTTCTCTTGTGAAGATAAAAATGGGAAGCAGACCTCTCCAGGTGCAACAATAATGTCTTGTACTGTTTTCTTTTTTTTCTACTGTTTGTTTGTTTGTTTTTCTGTTCCGTCGGCGCTGGAGGAGGTTAATCTGAGAAACTCGCGCTTTGTAGCATTGGAATAGGGTGACTGTAATGATACCATTGTGTTGGTTTGCTCCTTTTCTTGGTAGATTTGAACGTGGAAATTAAAGTAATGCTTTCTCTGTTCAAGATCTGATCATGGATTATCAACTTGACGTTACGTTTTGGGGTGCCTTATGTGTAATCGCGACTGCTTGCGATGATTTGTGGTGTTTCTAACCCTAGGTCTAACCCTAACCCTGACTCTGACCCTGACCCTACCCGTAACCTTGGCCCTAACCTTGACATGAACCCTACGCGGCTTCACTCCTAACCCATAAGAAAATGAAGGTCTTTCTTTTATTATCACGTTGTCAGTCAAAGTTCCCCTCGCTCAGGTTGGATTCTATGCCGTGGCATATTCTTATTGTTACGATGCCTGGTATATAATATTCCATACCGCAACGAAGGAAATGATAAATGTCTTACTACGTACCAACACATCGCTAAGCCCTGCAACCATACATACAGCAATTATCTCGTGCTATAATATGGCCGTTGAAACTGTGCAATAAAAGCGCTCCTCAGACACAGCTGCCATGTATGATTCTCCATCACTCCTCGACTTAAAAATCTCCACCACTTTCTTAAGCCCGCAAAACCATATTCCGTCGACTCCCGATTTTCAACAGACACACAATTATCAATTACTATTCGCGAGACATGTCTTACCAACCAACTATCCATGTCACAAAAACATTGTTCTACCACAAATTTCTACGTTACCCACCATCCCTGTCCCACAAGCCCCACTCCCACCCAATCACCTTCAAATTCTCACCCGCTTTTCCACCCCACTCCCACCCATCTTTCGCTAGCCGAGAACCCAGCTAATTCCCAGCCGTCTCCACATTTTTTCCAGCGAAAAACGTGTTTGCAACCCCACTTTGAATGCATTTTCTGCGCAACGTTATAATATGTTTAATTTTCGAGTGCTTCCATCAATCCAATAAAGTTGTTCTTCAATACAGCGAGATCAGTTCGACCTTCCATGTCAACTCAATTCAGCAGGTGTTCCGCTCCTGCTCAATGAGTTCGGCTGGGAGGTACCAACACTCGCTCCTTCTCTCTTCGAGAAGGTGCCAAGGTCGCTTAGCTCAGTTGGTTAGAGCGTGGTGCTAATAGGGACTTTGATTTCCTGTGATACGCCAAGGTCGCGAGTTCGACCCTCGTAGTGACCATTCTTTTTTTGCGTTTGTAAAATCACATTACGCCTTATTATTGTTCCTGTCTTTTTTTTGGCGCCTGCGATGTTCTAATATCACCTGCACATTCCAGTCATTTTTATTATTATTTTTTACACTGAGAAAATGCGGTATGCAAGATATACTCTAGAGGCTCCTGCGGAATGCAAGAATATCGACAAACAACTAAAGTAAAGCTTGTCTACCGTTGTAAATATCGTTTCCCCCTCCCCAAACACCACCACGACACCCTCCACTTCCACCTCCCCTTTCCTTGTACCCCGCCTCCTTCAACTTCTCCAGCAGGACTCTAGATCACACATCAGTCTATCTCCTCCAAAGTCTCGAGCAGAAAAGTCATACAGCGCTACTCCCGTTTCCCTGGTGTTCAGCACGATCTGCGGGCTGGGGGAGAGGTACTATATCGGGGAGGAGTCTTGTATCGAAGATGAGGGGGAGGTATGGCGGGGGTGTGGGGATGAGGGGACGCGGGTCTTTGTGTTGCCATTTGTTGATGGCGTGGTTTGGTTTTTTGCGTCGTTGGCGGTGGAGTGATGCACGAGGTCTTTTGTGGTTTCTTGGGGTCCAGGGGAATGCGATGCGGCGTTTTGGTAGCGGTATTGTGATGATCTTCCTAACGGGTGACTTGGAAGCTTGCTTGGCGGGATACTTCTTCTTCCTTGTCTTTTTCGTATTCAGAATGGACTCGTCGCTTGCTTCGTCGTCTTCTGTCGTTTCCTGCACTTCCACCTTTATTGTCTTGCTGTCCTTGTCATACCCCTGTGTACTATCCATGCTGCTCTTTGGCGTCCCTGCGACTACCGTCCGCGTAGGCGGTCTTGCGTCAATATCTTCATATACGAGTTTCTCTTTGAACCAGTAGGGTGTCGCACTTCCGGTTGCATGCCGCGCTTCAAAGTACTCTCTGTCGTTGGGATAGCAATCGAAGCCCAGAAGATAGAGTGTTGGATTTGGAGTTTTGCGGGTGGGCGGTTGTGTCATGTTTGGGGTGAAAAAACGAGATTTGGTTCAGGATTACGATTGGGTTTATAGAGTTGGGGATCCGGTTTGCGTGAAGAGTTAGAGGGTACAAAGGTTGCTGTAGGATTGTAGAGTTTCAGGTAGAGCAAGCATCATCTACAAACTGCGCAGCCGCAGTCAATGAAGAATTGTTGTCAGTACCTGCACTAGAGCATGGTACACTGCATCTCAAATTATTTTCGCACGAGTCTTGATTCCAGGCTTCATCAGTCTACAGCCTTCCATAGCAAATCAATACATCATGGACGCAAAGGAAACATACCGCATAAAAGCCATGACATTGTATTGATGTGATTGACATAGCAACTCTCCATGCGATGGAAACAAAGCTCCACGACAATTATCAGAGAACACATCCCGGAACAATGGGGAATGGCAGGCACGCAAGTGCAGTTTATGCCAATTTCCCTGGCACAAAGGGCAGACCCCCACTCAAGCCACCATCCACAGCCCAGGCCTGTGCGTTGACATAGCTTGCTTCATCGCTTGCTAGGAATAATACAGCCCGCGCAATCTCATCCGGCTGTCCTCCTCTCCGCAGCGGGTTCAGCTGCCCAATCTTCTTCTCAGTTCCCCTCTTCCTCGCCGCATCGTACGTGGCCCTGGTCATACCCGTTTCAATAATCCCAGGGCAGATGGCGTTGCAGCGGATACCCGATCCGGTAAGTTGGTAGGCACAGGTCTGCATCAGGCTGATGACTGCAGCCTTGGAGGCGGCGTAGTCGGTGGGGCCGGCATTCGAGCGCAGGCCTGCTACACTTGCAGTGCCGATGATGCTGCCGCTGGGGTACGGTTTTTGGTCCGAAGTCTTGAGCATTGCGCGAGAGGCGTACTTGGCTGCCAAGAAGACGGACAGGGCGTTTGTGCGCATCATGTTCATGAAGCCTTCGGTGGTTTCCTCCCAGAATACTCGGCCAGAGGCTATTCCTGCATTGGCGAAGAAGACGTCAAGACGACCATAGGCATCCAATGCATCTTGGCAGACCTTTTTGACAGGAGCCTCGTCTGCGGCGTCGAACTGGCGAATATGAATATCTGTTGAGGGATACAGCGCGTTGAGTTCGCGCTTGTGCTTCTCGAGATGAGAGTCTGAGAAGTCGCAAATATAGATTGCGCGGGCGCCATTACGCGCGAATTGATGTGCACTGGCGCGGCCGATGCCGATTTCAGAGTTTGCACCTAGAGTATTGTTAGACGGGACACTCAGTTGCGATGATGGTTGTGCATACCAGTGATGATAATGACCTTGCCTTTGACCCGTCTACAGTGAAAGTCAGCCCAGCTCAGCTGCCTGTCATTGTACACCACCTCGCATACTCACTGGTCTCCCAAGTCGCCAGCTACACTTCTGATCCCGCGCATACCTTCAAACGACACGGTCTCGGGTATGGGCTCGGAGAGCTCTTTGCTCACACCCTCCTGCTTGACTTTTGCCATAGAATCAGGCATTGTGTATGTAACTAGAAAAAGACGGGGAGGCTATTTGGACAGGGCAGCAAGGGTCGTGGGTGTTCAACGTCGCAAACTCAGAGTTGTAGGGATAATGACGAGGTTGCGGAGTTGGACGCGGAGGTAGCAAAATCCGGGGAAGATGCCGAGGTACCTAGGCAATACGAGCATGGTTTCGGGGTACGCGACATTGTCGGTTGTCGCGAGGCGCATGTTGCCGCTCGCCGACGCTTGGTAGTAACTTCATCGAGCACAGTCGCGAGTACATTCAGTTCCAACGCATGGTATTTGCTTGCACGACTCGGTCCGAATAGTACAGTAACAATTGTAATTGGCTGCGCAACACAATACTGTCTTACATGCATACTACTACTACTATTACAAGGCAAGCCTGCTCTACTCGCCATTTCCGTTTGTACTCTCCTCGTTTTCCTTGCTTGCAGCCTGCGCAGCCTTTGCCATCTTCCATTTCTGTGCGTTCGCCAGGAGTTTTGCCAAATTCGCTGCGCTCTCATCATCTGCAGGGAATACATAGTCGACGTACTCCTCAAAGCTGTCGTCATCCAGCTTTCTCCTCTTCTTGACCTTGCGCGGCATTTGTTTCTCAATCTTCCCCTTGTCCTCTGGACTACCGTGAACGTCTTCAAATGATTTCCATGCGGTAAGTAGAGCCACACGATCTTCTTTGAGATCGCGCTCCTTGAGGCGTGTGTGCGCACGCTTGAAAATTTCACGGGCACGAGCCTTGGCGGCGTCGCTGATGATTTCGTCGTCTTCGGGCGCCGACTCGTCGGGGACTCCGAGTTCGAATTGTGCCCATGAAGTCCATACCTTGACATGGTCCGTCTTCTGCAGAAGACGTTCATAGAGTGCACGTGTGCGATCATACTCGCCCTCACCTTCTTCAAAGTCAATGTAGGCTTTCCAGAGAAGCTCAGGCATGTCTAGTTGTTGCTCCTCAACGGCAAGCTCAAAGATGGCTCGCGCACGATCGAGGTCGTCCAGACCTCGTTCCAGTTCAGCAAACTTGATCCAGGTCTGGCAGTTCGACCCGTTCCATTCAATATACTTGGTGTAGAGCTGCCGACAGCGGTTGAACTCAAAGAGCTTCATTTCAAGCTCAATGTATCCTTTGAAGAGCTTGTCCTTCGGGCACATGCCCAAGCTCTGACCGAGGAGCTTTCGTGCAGTGGTAAGCTGGCCTTGCCTTACCTCAAAATGGGCAAACATTAGCCAGACCTTTGCAAAGGTAAAGCGCTTGTGTGGAAGTAGGCGGATACACTCCTGGTATATTTGGCGTGTTCGTTCAATGTCCTGTGAAACAGTTTCTTCATAGACGGCGTAGAACAACCAGAGGTAGATATACCTCCTCCAGTGTCGCTTCTCTTGTGTCGGTGGTATTTGTGCAATCGCTCGCTCGTAAATGTCACGAACTCGATCCTGGTTGCCGGATGTCTCTTCCAGGCATGCAAAATCGATCCATGCATCGTAGTTCTTGGGATTCTCCTTGATTTGTTCTTCGTAATGCACTCGTCGTTTCGACAAGACAACATCCTCAATGCCATCTCGGTCTCCGTACTGCTTCTCGAAAGTTGTAAAGGCCTTGTGCAGGTTGACCGATTTCGACCGGGGCATGCGGTCGAGGGCGAACTTGTAGATGGCTCTGGCTCGTTCCAGTTCCTTCAACCTCGCTTCGAACTTGGCGTATGCCATGAAGAGCTTCTCGTCCATAAACTCATCGCCGAGTGTGGTGACAGCAGTACCGTAGACGTCGCGCACGAGGTCGCTCGTGCCATGCTCCTCCTCGAACTTGGCCCATTTGATCCACTGCATAGTGTTAGTTGTTGAATCACAGCATCTAAAGGGTAAACTTGCATTCTTTGGTTCTGGATGGACGACAGTAAACCTTTCAAAGATAGCACGGCATCTCTCAAACTCGCCGTGTCTCTTTTCCAGCTTAATGTACGAACTCCAGGCCGCCTCATCCGGTTCCCACTGCATCCAGCGTTCAAAGACGGACCGAGCACCGTCAATGTTGCCAAGGGTCTCCTCCATATAGACATACTTGTACCATATCTTGTCAACTCGTGGGAGGATGGTAACAGCACGGTCAAGGAGGTTGCGTGCATGCTGAATGTTTCGATGCTTCATTTCGGAGTCGATATAGCGAAGCCATAGCGCGACAGACGTCGAGTCAACATCGAGGGCTCGTTCGAAGATGGATCGCGCGCGCCTGAACTCCTTCTGTTCCAGCTCCCAGGCAGCATAGCGCATCCAGTTGTTCATGTTGATACGATTCCGGCGCACATAGTCCTCGAACTCTTTTCTTTTCCTGCCCTGAAACTCATGCAGCTCCTCCATATCAGCGAAGCGCTGCGTGGGCGCCTTGAGTTTCTCATCTTGACGGTCGACGGCTTCGCGCAGAAGCTGTTCTGCAGAAATCTGGATGGGAGCGGCGGCCTTGTTCTTGACCCGTGGCGGTCCTCGTGAAGCCTCCATGATGAAGGATGGAATATGATGTTGTCGTATCTATAAAATGATTCGATGGGACGAACGAGGTGGTGAGGAAAGACGCCACGCGCGTCGTATGTGGATGCGAAAGTGGTTGCGACTGGGAAAGGTTGGGTGAGAAAGTTGGAGACGCTCGGATCAGATGGCCGGCAATCCAGCGTGGAAACGCGCACAGAATTACCACGACTCGAAGGCTGGTCGACGGCGATTGGATTTGTGTGTATGAAAAGCGGTGTTGCACGGCGATTGGTCCTTCTGTCAGGCCTTGGAAAAGTTAAGAACGCGACTGCTTCGCGCAACTTTTGGCCGCGCCGCGCCAAGCAATTAGCATCCTCAGTTTCACGTCACTGCCTTTGCAATTCCTCCATCACCCACGACACAACACTTTACCTTGCCCATACTCAACTCGACCGGCGGCCAATACAAGGCGACAGGTACGTATAATACTGCGCGCTGCCGAATCCAGCACTCAACCAAACTTTACTAGGAGGGTAACCTCCGGCCGCCGTCGCGACTGCCTCCATCTTGCGCCCGTTCTTCTCCAATCTCGACCACTGAGCCCTCTACATCACACCAAGCACCATGGCTACTCTGGAACAAGAACTTCTGGCCGACTTCGCCGACAGCGGAGACGAAGACATTCAGGACTTGGAGAATGACTTTGCCGAGGGAGACAACGGGTCCGATGATGACTTGGTAGATGAGGAGGCGGAGTACAGGGCCAAGGAGAAAAAGGACAACAAGGGACCTGCAGACATACGATCGGCTCAGCAACTCAAAGCAAACCTGGAATCCGTGCTTGCACGTATCGAGGAAACCAAGGATCAGATGGACGTTGTGGATGGTGAATCTTTCGAAGACTCGCCGGAATACAAGCTCCTCACCGAAGCCAACGAATTCTCTACTCAGATTGATGGCGAGATCGCAGCCGTTCACAAGTTTATCAGAGATCACTATTCGGCCTTCTTCCCACATCTGGAGGACCTGATCAAAAATCCCGTCGTCTACGCGAGAGCATGTTTGGTTATTGGTGGCGGGCCTTTGAAGGATATTAAGACCATTACGCCACAGCTGAAGGCAATCGATGGACTGGAGCCTGCCCAAGTCATGATTGTTGAGATCGAAGCCACACGGGTTGAAGGAAGACTTCTTGACGAGGCGGAGCTAGACTTGATAAGAAATGCCTGCCATCTGCTGCTCGAGTTGAACGCGGCAAAATCCAAAATTTTGGGCTTCGTCGAGTCGCGAACTGAAGTGTTTTGCCCCAACCTAACAGCACTTATTGGGTCCTTGACAGCCGCACATCTGATTTCGTATTCTGGAGGTATTTCCAATCTAGCCAAGACACCGGCCTGCAACATTGCGCCTTTGGGTTCGACCAAAGTGTCAGGTGCCACTGTCGGTCTTTCAAACATTGGTCTCAGACACGAAGGTTACCTCTATCATAGCGAGATTATTCAAAATCAGAGGCCCGATCTCCGAAAACAGGCGCTGCGCATTGTATCAGCCAAGGTAATACTGGCTGCTCGCGTAGACGCCCACTCGAGTTCTCGCAACGCAGACATTGGCATGGATCTAAGGAGAGAATGCGAACGCCGGCTGGACAAGCTGACTGAGCTGCCTGCAAACCAAAAGGGTCAGAGAGCGCTCCCTGTGCCAGACGAAAAGCCGTCACGCAAGCGTGGTGGAAGACGAGCACGAAAGGCCAAGGAAGCAACTGCCATGACTGAAATCCGCAAAGCGCAGAACAGAATGACGTTTGGCAAGGAAGAGAAGGAGGTGGGCTACGGAGACTCGGTCAAGGGCATGGGCATGATTGGAGCCACAGACACTGGACGCCTGCGCGCCCAGCAAATCGACCCCAAAACACGAGCCAAACTCAGCAAGAAGAACCCTGGGTGGGGCGGGGACACGACACTGGGCATGGCATCGTCGCTCAAGGGCTTTGGGGCGGGCGGGACAGCGACGAGTCTGCGCGCGCAGGGCCTGCGGACTGGCGGGGTGGGCCTGGGTGGCGCGGGAACGAGTTCGATTGCATTTACCCCCGTGCAAGGGCTTGAGCTTGTGGACCCCAAGGCTCGCGAGGAGATGCAGCGCAAGAGGAAGGCTGACGACGATCGGTGGTTTAAAGGTGGTTCGTTTACGCAGCTTAATGCCGGCTCCAAAGTAGATGCGGGAGGCTTCAAGGTGCCTGCACTACCGAATAAGAAGCCAAAGGCTGAGTGAGAGCCGTGGGCTTTGCAGTGTACATGTATTTTCATTGTCATTTTTTTGGCATTTTCAGCAGGATTACTATTTGCATCTTGGGGCGTTTTTTTTCTTTTCGTCTCTTTCAAGTGGAGGCAAGACAGTGAATAAAAACCATCTTTTCATGCTGGAATTTGAGGAAAGGGACAAAAGAAAATCAAGATCTGAGTTTTTTTTTGGGGGGTTTTTTTTTCGTCCACAGCGTGTCAAAATCTCACCTTGGTATTTTCGCATGATTCGCGCCTTGACAAGTTAATGCATGTAGCCATTGCCTTTGTGTTTGAGATGGGGGATTCACAACCAGAGAGTCCTTTATTGTGGTAGGAGGAGAGAAGATGGGTGAGATGGCGAAAGGTATAGTGTTAAACACACCAATCATCAACGCTAACATACTACCTTATTTAGCTAGATTGTTTTTTTTTCCTCTCTTAAGGATTATTATAATAGAAACAGGTCGCTCGCTTCACAGTCGGTTGTCAGGCTTTAAAAAAAAGGGCCCAGTCCAGTCCAATGCAGTCTGTTCGCGAAGGCCGTAGCGTGAACAGGTTCAGGGTCTTTTGTGATGCAGGTAGGCTAGACAGGCAGAAAGTGGTGTAGATACGGGCTTGCGCAGCAGAAAACCAAAATAGGAAAGCGGGTAATTAAGCATGTAGTGTGAATGCAGTGATTCAATGCAGAGTTTATTAGCGCAAAATAAGAGGATAGAGTTTTTTTGTTGTGACGATTATTATTACTTATTTATTTCTCTTTTTTTGCTTGTTGTCGTATTGCGCAGGGACAAAGGCGGTGGGTGGGAGGCATGAGATAAACCAGTGGCCTGGAGCCGAGATAGATTTTCTTGGGAGCTGAGTCGTTCATCAGCAGTTCATTGCGACCCAAGGCTTGCCCGAGCGCACGGGGCGGAAGGATGATGCGCAAAGCTCGCGCTCGGTTGGCGCACAACTTTGTTCGAGAAACGTTCGATGCTTTTGGAAGGGTACTAGGGGTATCCCTGACCTCGCTTTGGCTATAATGCGATAAACGAGATCTGGTTAGTGATTGTCTCAATTGCCTGTCGTTCGTGTCACAGCACTCTTCCTTTGTGACAGTAATGACGACCTGCCTAATCTATGAATGCATTTTGCGCGGCTGTTGTCGGATAGGGGTCAGAGAAGCAGAGATGAGGGAGGGGGGAGGGGGGAAAGGGCTGCGATCCTTTCTGTCCTTGTGGTTGCACCGGACCTTGTACACAATTACGGCAGCCGTTTGCGGGCGCGCATGGTCAGCCCTAAGGGACAGGCAGGGTCTTTGTGCTGTGCAACGCAGCATGTTGCGGTGCTACCAAAGGGCAAAAAGCAGCGCCCTCTTTGCAGCTGGGGGGGGGTTGGGCAAGGTCTCGAGTAGAAATTTTGACACGTGTTGATGATGTCTGGGTGGCAGGACCAGGAAGGTCGAGTTGATGCAGCAGCTACAGGTTGGTCACACAGTCTGGCGTCAGGCCACGACTCAGCCCCTTGGAGTGGTGAGTTTACCCGCCGATGGTCCGTGGGATAGCACCGACTGTCTCCTGACGCAGCGTCACGGCAGACAGGCAGCGGGGGGCTATGAGACGTTGCGGATAAATGTGTCGAGAGATTGACCATTGAAGCAACAGACGGTCTGTCAGCACCCTCTTTACGGATGATGATGACGGGGGCGCCACTGAGAAGGGAAAGCGGGCCGGCCATGCAGTGGACCCGTGCGAGGCAGCCATGGCCAATGGGGAGGCAGGGGCAGCCAGCCAGCGCACCACTTGTCACGACGGGTGGCTACGTCATGTCTCGGGAGGCCGTCGCATGGGGGCTCCCGTCGAAACAAATGCTGGTAGGGTAGGGTAGAGTAAGTAAGTAAAGTAAGTTGAATCGAGTAATGGGCATGGTCGGTTAGCTGTGGCCCTAAAGTATGTAGGGTGTGGCCAAGGGCAGCAGGGTGCAGCGGGTTGCAGTCATGGCGCATGAGCAAGCCACGATGGGCAGGCAGGCAGGCAGTAAGTATGTACTCTAAAAGTAGTAGGAGGAATAGAGTGACATGTATGTATGAACAAGAGGCGGGACGCAAGCGAGTGTGGCAGCGACAGGGGCGTGTGAATGGATAGGGAAATGGGCAATCAGGCTCAATGGCCCAATTTGCCCATGCAGCAGATGAATGGATGGATGGATGTGGATGCAGAGAGACAACGCCAGGCCAGGCCACGACACGACACGACACGACACGACCCAAGGGCGGCAGCGAGGCGGGCGGCAGCCGGTGGGACTTTTCGGGCGGGCCACGTGATGCATCGGAAGCAGGCTAGCGTGACTTGCAACATTATTTTATTTTTTTGCGAGAGCGGTGTCGAGGCTGCTCTGCTCCACCTGCTGCGGTTGCTTTTCATTCGGTGGCTAGGAGCCCAGTCGACTTTATTTCCCGGGTCCTGGTGCGGCATTTGCACTCCTCCCAGCCCGCCCGCTAACCAATTACTTGCTACCAACTGTGCTGCTTTGTGTGCATGCAGACGTGGATTTGCAAAAAGGACACGAGCATTACTCGCACTCGACTCGCCGCCGCCGCCGCCTCCGCCGCGCGCACCCCCCCGACAGTGCTGCCCTGCACGCTCTCGCTCGCTCAGCAGTACAGCCAATCTAGCAGCCCTCACACGCCAGGCGAGGCGTTAGTACCGCCCGTAACCCTGCTCGCTACCTTCCGCTCAAGCGAGGCCTCGCTTCGCCTGTAAGTCCCAAGACGTCCCCCCGTGCCCGTTCCCTCGCCCATCCGCTCCCAAGCCGCTGTGCCCTGCCACACGCGCCGCCGCCCTCCGAGGCTTCTCTCGGCCAAGCTGCTGGGAGCAGTTGTCCTCACGGTCCGGAGCTGTGGTCATTGTCGCAGGAGCACGTCGCTTGGGCTATCGTCCTTGTCCTGGTCGTCGTCGCCGCCTGTCGTCGCTGTCATCGTCCCTCTCCGTCGGCGCGCAGCCCCTCGCTCCGCCGGGCGCCTCTTGACCGAGTGTTGTGCCTAGTCTACGCATACTATTCCCTGGCCCACCCTGCCTGCTGCACACCCACCCCCCTTAGTCGCCTCTGGCTGCCTGCAAAGTCACTCGCCAACGCGTTAATCTATGCCGCAGTCGTCCTGTCCCTCAATCCTGTCCGCCGTCCCAGCGCGCAGTCTACCAGTGCGCCTGCCCGCCGCCCTCGAACCGAGCGGCCAGGCCCCTGCCAGCGGGTCAAAACGCCCTCGCCAACTCAGCTAATCCCAGTTCCTTGCCTGGCTTGCCGTCCCTCTTCCATCTGCGTTTGCCTTAAGCTTTCTAGCGCCTGCGTGCCCTCAAACTCAACCGCCGACGTGAGTTGTGCTCGTGTCTGTCTGTTGTTGTTGCGCCCCGGCGGCCTTGTCCACTGCTAGCCCATGTCGCACGACTTTTCACCCCAGATCAACTCAGCGCCATACTCGCCCGCGTCATCGCACTTTTCCCACCAAAGCATGGCCGATCCCAATGTGCAGCAGCAGTCGCGACAGCAGACCGTCGCCTATCCCTCACCGCACTCATACCCGTCGCCCTCGATGCAGCCCACCTACACCTACCCGCCGCCCCAGGGCCAACAAACCAGCGACGCCTATCGCGGCTCTCCCCAAAGCTCAAACATGTCGTTGCCGCCCCTCAACCTGCCGCCAATCCGTCTGCAGGACGGCCAGCAACCGCAGGCGCAACCTCAACCAGCCCAGCAGCAGCAGCAGCAGCCCATGGGCTCGCCACTCCCTCCACCTCCACCACACGGCATGCCGCAGTACTATCCGCACCCAGCTCATGCGCAGCCCGGACAGCCCATGATGGCCAACATGGGCCCCCAATTCAATGCCATGCGATACCAGCTGCCGCCCCAAGGCGACCAGCGAGTGCTCTCGGGAGGTCGCCACAAGAAGGAGATCAAGCGCCGCACAAAGACGGGTTGTCTGACCTGTCGCAAACGAAGAATCAAGGTAAGTGAGAACAGACGTCAATGGTACGCGAATAGTCGACGCGACGCGAGGTCAGAAGAGGAGCTATTGCCATGTCGCTTGCTTAACCGAGCGAGAAACCCAAACTGCTCTAACCCGGCCCTCGCGCGTCGTAAAGCGAGAACCGCCGTGGTCTGCAGCAAACCATTGCAAACCGTAGCGCGCACACTGCTCGATTGTCGCAGTTTTGTTGCGTAGTTTGCGGTGCGGCATCTTGTTTTGCGCCTATTGCGACAATTTTTTTCCGTGTTCCTCCCCTACCGCCCGCCCTGCCAACATCAAATTTTCGAACCTGCACATGTGCTAATCAAGACTCGGATAGTGCGACGAAGCGCATCCCATGTGTAGGAATTGCCAGAAGAGTAAGCGCGAGTGTCTTGGCTACGACCCGATATTCAAGCAGCAGTCTGGCCCAGCTCAGATACAACCTGCCCCCAACGCTGCGCCTGCCTCTCAAGCACCAAACGCTCCCCCTGCGCCTGCACCGCCGGCTTCAGCGTACAGCCAGAGCCCGGTGCCTCAAGGCTACGCGCCTGCCTCGTCGGCTGGCTACGCAAGTGCTGCACCTGCGACGAGCGGGGAACACCAGCCAGCCAGCTTCCACGCAATAGACCCTGCACTTGCCCAGGCAGACCCTGCCCTGCAGTCGACCCAGCACTACAACGCCGGCCACGCTATGGATCCTGCCATGAGGGGTCCTCCTGGCCCCAACGCCTACCCGCCTCCACCAGAGCCACTCAAAGGTTGGTCCACACTCCCTCACTCTTTCCTCTCATGCTATGGACTCGCACTGACACGCAGCTCAGGCAAGCGCCTGCACATCACCGACATCTTTGGCATATGTAACCACAGCCCTCCAGAAGTCCCCCCTCGCACCTCGCCTGTGCCGCGTGAGATTGACGACGAGTTCAGTCGCATCTTCATCAACGACTACTGCCAGGGACTCGACATTGTTCTCGAGACCACATGGTTCTCTACAGAAAACAATGCGCTCAACAGAGTCTTCAGCGACCGCGCGCTGCACGAAGAGGCTGCTTACTTTACCGAGACCATCAAGTACAAGGCATCTGACACAGACATGACTGGCGTCTTTAGTCAGGAAGCCCGTCTGCTCTGGCACCTGCTTGGTACTTGTAAGCACAACCCGCCAGCAACCAATGGTGCAACCTCGGAAACCGACGACTTCTCATTACGAGAAGCGCGAGCCCGCTTCGACGTTCTCGAGGCCCTTTTGACCAACCAGAACCTTGCACCCAACCCTGTGCGTGAACTCACCTACCCTGCCAATCTCGATGAAGAAACCAGGATGCAAGTGGATTTCTGGATGCACTTGGGTGACTTTGTGCAATACTCGGACTCTGACACTGCGCCTCCCGGAGCTGCCGATAACGCTCTTGCTGTAATACGTAGTGTGTTGCGCATGCACGAAGTGCGAGACGCCATCTACTCGATTGCCATTGCCCGTCACTATGGCAGCCGAATTGGTGGTTTCCCCAACGCCTTACCAGCCCCTGTGAACCAAGCTCCGGAAAGTGACTTGAACAAGCTTCTTGTAGCTATGTCTTTTATAAGTCATGAGAGCCGTGCAGCCAGTCAGCAGGTCCTTGCACGCATTTGCGACATGGCCATGTTTTCATGGACTGCCTCACGAATGCCCTCGGGCCATCAGCCGGGAGGCTTTCAACAATGACGACCATCTGGTGTAGTCTGAAAGTTATGAGGCATATTCCAAAAATACAAAAGGCTCTCGGCCCGTACTTTTGTACCACCAACTGGAGAATTTGGTTTTTCATTCTTGCATTTCGGAAGCGGGCGTTGCTTTCCTCCCACCCCCATGCTTACCCAGCATGACTTGCTATCGTTTATGATTATACTTTCAACCTTCAATACAGTCCCGCCCTCTTTTACGTACATTCACCCCCTTTTTTTTTTCTTTGCATCGACCCTGCGTACGGAGCTGGTGGATTCTACAGCATTTTGGGGCAGGCATCACAAGATATACCCGGTTCAGCTCGATCGTGTCCTGTTTCTCTTTCTCTTCTCCTCGGCGTCTCCCCAAGTGTGGGGGGACAATTGCCACTAATCCGTTTTTTGTTCTGCTTGCTTGATGAAGGAGTGTTTTTTTTACAACACCACTTACGACATGAATGAAGGGTGTCGTAATTGAAGTTATTTGACATGGAGATTCAAAACGTACATCGTATTACCAATTTACCAAGTTTGTTTTCCGGAGATGTCAGAATATGGCGTGATTTGTTGATGCGACTTTTCTGTAGAGCTTCGGTACTCTCTCGCCATGGACTGAGCTAATTAGAGTTGGGCTGAGCTGAGCTGAGCTGACTTTTTGTACTTGATCGATTCCGGCATAGAAATAATATGTAACCAATTGTCTCGTGTTAGACGGTGAGCCATTAGAAGCAATGAAATCCAAAAGCAACAATCAAGACCTGAATCTACATCTCTTCCCACCCCGATAAAGCAGCAAGTGCAAGAAGAAGAAGAAGAAGAAGAAAGAAAAATGTAACATCGGCATCCCTTCCGACTGGCTACCCGTACAACCAGACCTACCACCTCTCTCGCATAAAGCACACAATCCAACCTTACATCCCCCTTCCCTTGCTCTTTCTCAGCTCACCCGACGCTCTCTCTCTCTCTCTCTCTCCTAAGCTCAATCCACATCCCATTCACCTTCCCTCCCTCCCTCCATCTCCACCTTAGCAAAGAAAAGAAAAACGAAAAAAAGAGTGTATCACGACGCCCATGTCGTGCAACCGCTGGATAAAGAAAAGAAAAAGAGGGGGGACGGGGAGCGAATACACGTGTGGTACAGAGAGGTGTTGTTGTACAAATGAACGGTGTGGCTTGTGTTTTTTTTTGAGAGACACAAGAATCAAGGGGATCCGGTGAAGTGGATATTCTCCGAGTGGGTTGTGGGACGGTGGTTGTGGTTACTGGTGGCGGGGGGTTGGCAGTTGTGTTACATGAGGGTGTGATACAGACTGTGATATATATTTTTTTTTCTTTCTCATTTCCAAGATGTTGTTGTAGTAGTAGTAGTAGTAGTAGTAGTAGAATCATCTATGCTAGTTTCAAAAGTGGGTCGAAGCCATGACTACTAGTTGTTACTCAATCCCAAGAACAAATGTCTACTAGAAGAGAGGTGAGACATAACCCCCCATGCCCCCCTCCCCACACTCACCACTGCTCGCCATCGCCCCAAACACGATGCAAAATGACCCTCGCAAACTTGGTCTCGCCAGGACTCTTGGTACACCACGCGACGCGATTCCCACGCCTGGAATCCCTCCAACCCCCCGCATCCCCCGCAACCTCCTCGCTCAAATCCGCGGTGCCCTCCGTGATTGTGCGACCCCGCCGATCCACCACCGTGCAACCGCGCGTCCACTGCCCACTCGTCTCGACACGCACGTCTTCCTCTTTGAATTTCCAACTCGGATTCGAGGCCGAGAGCGCGTACCAGATTGTTAGCGGGTCGTGGAGTTGGAGGCTTTGCTTTGCGGTGTCTTGGTGCTGGGGGTTTAGCGAGGCGTTTTTAGTGAAGGTTGGGGAGAGGAAGAGGTGTGTCCATTCGGATAGCGGACTGCCTTTTGTGCCCTCGCGTGAGATGTAATCTTCGTACATGGATTTGGGGAGGAGATGCTGCTCTGTTATGTCGAGAGGGAAGAGCTTTATGGTTAGGCGCTTGCTTAGTTTGGCTGGGTACGGGGCCAGTTTGGCTTGTTTTTGCGTGCTGGAAAGTGTGGGTGGCATTGTCAGGTGTGGGTTTTGCGACGTGAGGGCGAAGACGCGCGCGCTGGCTACCGAGTCGGCGTAGGTGTTGAATTCCGCGCCGGGTGTCATCTGGTTTCGTAGGTTTAGTGAGAGGCGCAATGGAGTGTTTGGTTGTTTGATTAAGTTGAAGGGAGGGACTGGGATTGACAGTGTAGCAGGAGAATAGATGAGGTGTAGAGGAGGCGGCGGCCGCTACTCAGAGCTTCAGAGCCGTTACGAGGGGGGGGGTGTAAAAGAAAGATGGAGTCTTACATTTCCAGGTGCATCTATAGCACCGCCCATCACAACAACCTCCTTGACCCTGAGAAACGCCTCTGGATCCGCTGCTGCAGCAACGGCAAGGTTCGTCAATGGCCCCATAGCTACTATGGTAACCGTATCTGGTTCATTCTCCCTAAGCAAGTCTAGCATAACCTCATGCGCAGGCTTAAGCGACGGCGTAAAAAGAGAATGCTGCTCCTTGACTTTTTGGAGTTCTGCCGCTTCCTCTGGTGAAAGGTTCTCTGGCGTAGGTTTGAAAAGCGTCTTCCAAGTTTCAGCCGGTGAGAGATGTGGGTGCTAAACATCCGTTAGTAATTCAATCTCAACCACCGTAAACCTGGAAGACCAGAAAGAAAAAAAACTTGCACTATGATGAATCCCTCCAAGCCCATCAACGCCATCTATCCAGACTTAGTTAGTTGCTGACATCTCCAACATTGTCAAGATAACTTCAAAAACTCACGAAAGAAATCCGCAACCATCATATGCTCAGCCAACGGCTCTTCAGCCCCAACAGCAACTATATTCCAAAAAAGTTAGCACACTTACTCACCCCCCTCACTGCCCATCACCCACCAATAGGTTTCCTCGCACTCAGCGTCTCAAACCCCTCTGGTCTCCCATTTTCCTTCCTCCATACTCTCTCCTTTTCAATCTGCTGAAAAAGCGTAACCACATTCCTCAAGCAACTGTTCTCCCAAATTTTCCAAGTCAGCAAAAACACTTATTCCCTTAATCTCCCCCCCTCCCCCCTCCTCCCTTTCTTAAATAAATGCCAGAGATCCCAGCAAAAATTTTGGAGATATAAAAACAAGAAAAAAAAACTTACTTCCGCACCTCCACATTCCCAAACGTCAAACTCAACGCCAAAACATCGAGTTCGTCGCTTTTTGCCGAAAACGCAAGAAGCATTGCTAGAACATCGTCGACGCCCTAATTTTCATCCCACATCCCCATTAGTATAGCCCGTTTTAACTCTTTTTTTTTGTCGCAGGAAAGGAGGAAGGAAGGAAGGGAGGCAAGTTCCTCGGTATAATGCGGGGTAACAAAAGGGTTGTTGGATAAACAAGGGCCCATGTCTACAGGCAAACTTACGGGGTCGGTATCGATGATGATTTTGTTGGGTGCCATTGTTTTAGGTTTCAGGTTTCAGGGTTATTTTTTGAATTGTTCCAATTATAGGGAGGAAAAAGATTGAAGTAAAATGTGTTTTGTTGCAGATAACTAAAGTAATTCCCCCCCCCCCCGGATATATGTAGACCGTTTGATTGGATAAACTAGTGGGCCCCCCGTCTTTTCCAACCCCCCCCCCCTCAAGCCCTAAGCCCCAAGGCTATGCATGGCAAGTGGCCTAACAAAACAGCGGAGTTCACCGACACACCGAACACGCACACGGGGACCACTCTCCACTCTAACTGTGGGTCCTGCTGATGTTTTGACTTTCAGGGGTGCAGGCATGAAGGTTTAGAGTCTAGACGCTCAATCAAAAACATCATAAACTTGTATGCATTTGTAAATTTCTAAACAGATGTCCCCTTAACAGGGTATGCGATCAACCCAATCGCAACGTATAAACGCCGAGCACTACTCCTGGTCTACATATTTTCCGTGTCGCAAAGGTTTTGCTGGGCCGGAAGTTGCACCTCTGAACTTGTCCCTTTTCCTCAAATCGTTCATCTTGGCAGCTCCTAGGCTGCTCCGCCTGCATTTAAGTACCCAATCGCCATGATTCTTCGTCATCGGATGTAACCAGTGTACGCTGTCCAGCGTTCGAATCGAAAACTCATGTCGTGATGCGTGATGCGTCGTTTTTTTCTAGCCTAGTAAACCTTCTTCTTCTCGTCGACGGAGAACTGTCCAGGGCCCATGTTGACCAGCAAAAGGAGACCACCACTGTGGTTTGTTAGTAAATGTGCATTAAACCAGATGTAGCATGGTGGGACTTACACAATCGAGAGGATTTGGAAAAAGTCGTACTTGGCAAAGTCCTTGTGAGGGTGGTGCGGGTGCAGGGTCCACCAGTTGTTGACGTAGAGGTTGAAGATGCTGAGAATCAGCACCAGCATAACGGCAGAGAACTTGGCCTTGAAGCCAACGACAACCATGACACAGGCAATGAATCCCAGAATGCTGGCAATGATTCGCCAGAGACCCCAGTCGCCGCGGAAAACAAAGCCAACAAAGAGGAAAATCAGAAGAACACGTCCAGCGAGCTGGAAGTACATCTTCTTGTCCTTCTCATCAAGCTGGGGAAGACCAGCCGGAGCAAACTTCTTGCGAACCCACGAGTCAGAGAGAACCATGAGAAGACCACCAACAACCGACAGGTTGCGGAGGAAGAAGTTGAGGTCGAAAACAAGACCGTATCCGAGACCCTGCAACACAACCACGCCCATGAGCCCGCCGACACTGAATTCAGAGTATTTCCGGGCAATAACACCAATGGAGCAGACTGTCATGGCGATGACATTGACAATAAGGAACATGTGCGTTAAACCATTAGGGACTGAGTGGCGCCAAGTGTTAGCCATGCGTCTCAACGTGTCGTGAGGGGTAGTGATCGAGACATACTGCGTCGGTAGTTATTAAGGTATGTGAGCTGGTCACTCCATTGAGTTACTATGCGTAGCGCGTCCTCTAGGAAAGTTACGACAATCAGGAAGCGGCCAATTGCTGGCAAGTAACTGTGCAAAGATGCAAGTCAGCCCATGTTTCCCAGAACGGGCCGTTTTGTGTAGCAGCACCAAGAGCGGTGTCTGGTACCAAATATCGAACCCGTGTACTTCCAGTCCTTACTTACGGCTTGATAGGATCGGCGACAGTGTCCAACATGTCCTCGAGTTTGCTTGTCTGGGCCCTCAGTTGGTCGAGGGGACTCGGGTCGTTGTTCATGTCGTCGTTGCGCCCGGAGTTGCCAAAGGGGCTTTGGTTTCCCAAATGGTAGCCAGCTGTGCCGCGTATCTGCGCCATGGCTGGAGGATTGTAGAGAGGAAAGGAGGGTGCGAGGCGGAGGTGTAATAGGTGATAGGGTTGCTCCTGCGAACAGGTGTCCTTCACGCGATTGATTCTCGGAAACGTCAGATTATGTCAGCAACCTAACCTATTGCGCGTTACCCTGCGGTCTCACTATACTGATCTGTCGCAAGCTAAATAAATTGCAGGGTTGGAGCGACCTATAACCTTTCGTCTGAACATCGTTAGTTACAATCACCGATATTATCCTATATCCGGCCGCCATCCGGACCATGTCCGCGTGCTCATGTGCTCATGCTTGTCTCGCGCAACCTGCGCCGTTGCAACGCAGGTACTTAGATATGCACCGTTGGTTAAAGGCCACATTGCCCAACCGGCGCCCACCGTATTAGCGAGCTTTTGGGCTGACTCGGATACGGTAGTCCCGGTGGGTCTTGATACAATTATAATCTCTACTTGGGGTGCGCTTACTACGCTCACCACATATAGTGGGCTTGCGGCTCCTCGGAACCCGAGAATAGATCCCAGTAATCATGGGGCAATCTCAAATAGACACAGCTCCTATTTGCTGCACTTGAAGCATTCAGCGACCAAAGCCATGTCTTTTCTATGTAGTCAGCCTCAGAGAGGCGTTTTCGCCAAATCTCAGAGACTTGGTGTTCATGTGTAACAGTGAAATACAACGAGAGAATACAAGGGCAGGTTTCGCGCGCAGTTCCAAAGGTAAACCCCCGTACGCCGATAATTTTTCCAAACATTCAGCATACAAGGTAGGGAAATTAACCCTCATTATCCCCATCGTGCTCGTCGCCCAGACGTTCCCACGTAACATGCCGACTTTTTGCCTCCCTCCTCTACCAGATCCTCTGACAGGTTGCCGTCCCAACGCCCGGAAGACCCCTGTACTAACGGTCATGGCCATGACAGAAATTTGGAAAGAATGATAACACGTAGGTATTGCATGACTGCACGCATGGCCCACAAGTCTCAAGGACCAATTACTGGTTTAGTCATGGTCAACAACCTCACATGACCGCCCAATCGTCAATCTCATCGCCAGTCTTGGGGTTAAACTCCTCGGCGAGAATCTGGTAACGAGAGCTGGGGTTCTTGCTCTCCCTAAGAGTCTCGGTTGGTCGGACAGGCTTTGCCGGCTGGGATGGCTTGACAGTGTTGATGTCATCACGCTCCTCGGCAAGTTCCTCGTTGACGGTCTTGCGCTTAGTCTTGCCTCCCTTGGGAACAGTGGTCCAGGCAGAGTCTTCCATGGCAAGTCGGAGCTGCTCCTCCTCAGAAGGCAGGCTGTTGTAAGAGGCAGAAGTAGTGTTCTTGCCGTTTGTAGGGGCAGGAGCAGCGGCAGCGGGAGCCTCGAAAGTGTCGAGAAGCTGACCAGTAGGGGCTGTCTTGGGAGGCTGAACCGCACCACGAGATGGAACCTCAGTCCAAGGGTTCGACGCAGGAGGCTTGCTCTGCTGACCGTTTTTGGCCGGCTCACCGCGAGCCTCACGGGCAGTACGGCGCTGCTTCTCCTCAAGAGCCTTGCGTTGCTTCTCTTCCTCCTCGCGCGCAGCCTTGGCCTCTTCAGCCTTCTTCCTGTTCTGGCGCTGCTTCTTGGTCTCCTGCGCAACCTCGGCCTTTTGTGTCTGAGCCTTGACGGACTTGGCGGGCTTTTCAGAGGGCTTAATGCTCACAACAGAGGGAGAGACAGAGCGCTCGCCCAACATATCAGAGACGTCCTTGCCACTGGGTGCCTTGTTGATGGGGGCAGCAGGCGGAGCGACTTCCTCCTGTGCCACAGGAGCGGCCTTGGGAGCAGCCGCCTTGTTGCTGGTATCCTGAGTAGGCGCCTTGACCGACTTGCGGGGAACCTTGGCCTTGGCCTTCTGCTTGGGCTTGGTCTCAGAGTCCCAGTTGACCGCCTCCTTTAATGAGTTGGTGGTGGACTTGCCCGTTGTCGACCGTCCTCGCGCAACGCCATCGTTGTTTTGGTGTGCATAGTACCAGTATGCGGCAGCGCCAATGGCCAGGAACATGGCCCAGCTCATCCATGTCTCCATGATGGGCTAAGTGTGGTGTACAATGCCTCGAAAGGAGTCGCCGCTAATGAATACGTGGCCGCTTTCCGTGAGGTGGATTGCTGGCAATTTGTTAGACGACGGATGACGTATGCGCGAATTGCGATGCAATAGTTGAAGTGGGCAGCAGGCGAGTGAAAACAGCGTGATTGAGCGGCAATGGAGCGAGGGAAGGGGGTGGGATGACGGTGATGGCCCAGGAAGGTTGAGCAAGCAGGAGTGAAAGACGAAAAGGGGCTTACCGGTGGAGGATGCCTTGATGTTAGGCTGGACGTGGTAACCTAAGTGCCTGACACGTTGCACAGGCAAGCGACGCTCAGGTGTCGAGATGGTGGTGGGAAGAGGCCAGGTAAAGGTGTTGGACCACTTCGGAAGCGTGGAGTGCAGCCACCGAGTCGCGCACTCGCGGCTTGTAGAGTGTCTAGGGTGCAAACAGGCCGAGGGGGGGACAATGGCGGTGGCAAGGCGTCTTGGCTAAGAATGGATATGGGAGAGACGGGGACGAAAGAGGGAATGAGGTTGCAGAGCGGAGGTGCTTTCATGTGGTAGTCGTCGAGCTTGCGAATGCTGCCTCGATTGGGGACGCGGCTAGGCAGGGGTCCGCCAACCCGCTGCCGCAGACGGCAGAGGCATGCCATGTCCTTCACGGCAATGCCGCGCACAATGCGACGAGCTGCATTGCCAGTGCATGCAGACTTGAATGCACCTTGCCATTTGGCGGCCTTGTGCGCGGAAGGTAGCCGTTGCAAATTACTAATGCCATGATGCTGCTTGTCTCCTCGACTGTCCTGTCCTGTCCTGTCCTTGGGACTACCGAGTTGCAACAGCGACTTGAAAAGGACACGAAGCGTGATACTACTCTCGTTCTCTACTCGTCCCACTCGGCCACCCCCCTGCTCCGATGTGCTGGCCGTGCGACGACTACTACTACTACTACACACACACACACACACACACACACATGGGCCCTCTGTCACGTGCAATTGTCCGAGGATACGTACGCCTATTTTTCTTGCGCCCAACAAACAACCACACAAAACAAACAAATTCGTTATCATCGTATGACATGGCCATTGCCTTCCACTATGTACACCCAATCCATCACCACGTAGAGCCCACATATGTACAACGCCGCTCCCGCTTAGTTTCGTTTTCCCATGCCAGCAGATAAGAAGAGAGAAGAGAGGAAAAAAAATAAAAATAAACAACGCTGGCGAGAGGACAAAAAAAAGTCTCGGAAAGAAAACATGCCTCCCGTTCTTCTGCTCGAAAGAAAATCAACACCGCCTCTTCGCATCAGCCGCCTCGCAAACATCTGGCCCTTTTCTTTTCCGGCTCTCGCCATCGCTATGCAGACTTGAGCTTCGACTCATCGGCGGCGTTGCAACTCCATGCGACAAGGGCACTTGCCTGCAGTATTGCGACGGCGAGGTAGCAGTCGGATACATACTACCGCTTCGCTGCAATGGCGGTGATGCCATCTTTTGCTCTTCAGCAGCAACTGCTGCCGCCGCCACGGCCGCTCCCGCTGCCGCTGCTGCTTGTCTTTGTTGCAATTGTTGATGAGCCTGTAGCGCCGCCGCCTGGTTTCGCTGTGCCATCTGCATCTGCCTTGCAATGTCGCCCAGTCCTGGCCCTACAATGTTCCGGTCTCCTAGAACCGTCGCACCGCAATTGACCGTGATGTTGATGTTAGGATACTTGTGCACCCCCCTGACTTGCGTCCTTGTTGTCCGCTGCGCCTGCGCTGTTGCTAGTGGCACTGGGCTTGGAGGTGTAAGCGGTCGTGTGGCGTCGTCTACTGGTATTTTATCCCCACAATTGAGCAGGCTTGTGATGAGGTTTGCTATCCGTACACTGTCCATTTGCGCAATGGATATAATGTTTCCGTGCCCGCGGATTTGGGTTGCGGCGTTGATGACTACCTCAGGCGTGTCATTGTCCACTTCCCTGTCTTCCTCTTCTCCTTCGAAATGTATGTACGGACTTGATGCTCTCGATTGTGGCATGTTGGAATCTATGACTGTTTCGTAGGCTGGGGGTGCTGGCATTTGTTCCAATGATAATGTCCAAGTGCTGTTGTTGTTGAATTGAGATTGTGAAGTTTGTTGTAGCGTTGATACTTTTGCACTGTGCACAGCAGTATTGTGAAAGGGCTCCATGGCCTATATGCACACTCTTTTCCCAAGTTTTTCCAAGTTGTTTGGCACGATGATGTGGGGTACCGTGATCGTGGAGTCGTGGCGTGATGTTGGTGTGATGGATTATCCGAAGATCATGCGAGTCGACCACCAGCACATAGCAGTGGTTGAACGCTTTGCCGGAAAGTGTTGCGCGACCACGAAATCTAAACGGTAGATTTGCCCCGGTAGATACCGTGATCTATTACACAAGCAGTGATCGGAGATGGCCGCTGGCCGAGATGTCTAGAATTTGCCTTGTTGGGAGAAAACCCTACGGGACGTCAGCAATTAAGAAATATCATCTTGCAAACGAAGCAACATGTCACGTACGTACCGGAAAGAAACTCTTCTTAGTAGTATTCCGACACCGAGTTCAGTCTCCCTGGGATAACCCAAGACGGCGGCAGTAGGACGCCACCCTACTAAATATTCCCGCCCATCATGCAATCTCCAGCCAAGAGCTATTCAGCATCACCTGCAACAGCCGACACAATAGCAAGGCCAAACAATCCAATGCAGGTATTGCGCCACTGCATCACGCACAATAGCAAATGCAACGTCGGTCGCACACAAAGTGCACAAGGTGCAAGACGCGTCGGCCTTGCTATTGTGACCCTCATCACTCAATAGCCATGCACTACTAGGCAGTTTTCAGCACCTGCGCCACAACCATCGCTCCAGCCATTGGATGGGTTTCATAAGCGACGAGCGAATTAAACACTGCTATGCTGTCGACACTCGTACGGTACGCTGATCCCCATCCATTCGAGAAGCTTGACACCGGAGAAGGACTCATAGGGGTGGGGGGGTTTGTGGAGTGGCACTGTGTAACAGTGTGGACAATGTTTTCAGACAAGTGGGTGGTTGTGTTGGACATGAGACGCCTTCTTGGGACTGTACCATTCGCTCCTTCTCCATGCAGCAGCCAGCTAATCCCAGAACGTCAGTCTATGTCGCGCCCTGCCAACTCATCCTTCCGTCCTCTCCCGTTTCCCGTCATCCTGGCATTGTTCACGTCCCCCAAGACAATGCTACAGGCATCCGTTACAACCGTCGCTGACGGGACTTATCCGTTGATCATTACTATATACGATACCAAGGGCGTGTATGTGTAGTCCCTAGATGATGATCTTAATCATCTCCTCTTATTCTTGGCTCAACTCGTGCCAGTCGGGATGCTCGGGGTGCATCGGTGGGTTCCCGGGATCATGGTCATTGGCAAGTAATTGTCTCCTTGACCGACACGATGAGACCTTGTGATATCACTACTATTCTCTAGGTCGATCCAACCATGTCTTGTCTCTTTGTCTCTCATTGTTTCATAGTTAGTGTCATGCAGATATCGCGGCCTTGCAGCACAACCACTGTTCGATGACGTTTGGCAAAGTGAATAAGACAAATAAAGGCGTCAAAGACTGGTACATGTAGACGATCGCATTCCCCTTTACCTGAAGATCTCATGTTAGTAATCCCAAAGTAGAAGCAGACTGTGTTGATTCATCAGGTCGAAAAGGAACATATCCCGTGGACGGCCTTTGACTGACTCCAAATACCTGTGACTGTATTCTGCTAAATTCTGTGACTGGATAAAACCAAAGTAATTCATATTGATCTACTGATTTATCTTGTGATCACTTGGTTTAAAGCACGGAGAACTTGCCAAGTGTGTGTATCGAGTATGGATTGCGAAATGTATGCTGCAGGCATGCGGCGTAGTGCATATACATCCTAACAGTGCATGTAAACAATAACCAAATATCGAGAAAAGGGGGGCTTCTGGACAACACAATAGACGTAGCGCCACCAAAATGGAAACCAAAAAAATAAGAATGCCAGTGATTCTGCCATATCCCACGTCTACAAAGCGCAGCTCTTGCTGTAAACTATACTTCCAACTATGTAGACAACCTTTGCGGTAAAAAAAGGAGAGACGACGCCATACGCTGTAGGCTATAACAGATCTCGCTAGACCATTCGCCTCAAAGGCAAACAAAAGCTGCTTGTGCTCCGTGGCAACGAAACAGGTTGGCCCCTTCACATCCTGAACCCCAAGTCTCCGTTGCCCGGACACACTCCCAACCAGCCCCACAGCCTCTAATTGTTGGTATTGATAAAGATTTCCGTTTGGTGTTATACAAAAGTGTACCGTTATGACAGACACACCCCCCACCCAAGACGCCACGCTGCAACAAAACAATGCGACTAAGTTTCAAAATGTGGGAATCAAGTGTTCAAGAAAACTGGGCTCAACGACCAAGCAGAGAGCGCCACAACAAGGCTAAAACTCCATCAGCTTACCGCGGTCGGCGAAGAAAACGTTTCCTTACTATAGACTTAGGCCCACTATCATCGTTGTGGCCGATACTGTGGTATCTCGTGCATTGGCCTTTCGTGATAGAAGAGATTCTCAGACCAAGGCGGCAGTTTCTTGTCACGTTCGTAAAGGTAGCCGCAATTGTTGCACAGGCTGCGCGGTCCTTTTGGACCATCTCGAACGGCCCAAACCGCAGTTCCCCAAACCCAACAGTGTGAACATCTCCACGTTTGCCTCTCCCTGTACCATAAACGTTAGCGAAAGAAAATCTCTTTGTAGCCGAATTGTGAATACGTACCCCTCTTGCAGCCCGCCGTCCTGCCCACCGTAGCCGGATCCGCCTCCTCCAGCGCCAGGTGTGCCGCGCCCGACAGGGCTTAAACTCCTGAATCTTCTCTTCTTCTTGCTACGCTCACCACGGCCCATATTTTCTTGTCCTTCGATGTTATTGAAGAACTCATTGGCTGGAGTGCCCGTCATATTTG